CGGGGCTGCTCTTATTGAGGCTAAATGCGTTCGAGTTGTTCTGATTGGAGGAGGGCAGTCTTGGCGAAAGGAGGGCGATCCTGGGGGAGGGAAGGGAAGTTCCGGCTGGGCTGCTGCAGGTAGAACTAGCAGAAGGGGAATTACCCCCAGCGGAAGTTGCAACAAAAAAGGGTGAATTACCCTTGAGACTTGAAGTGACCAGATTCTGAATTTGCAACTCCTGCCGAACCGCCTGCTGCGCTGGCTTGGTTCCCCGCGGGGATGCCTGCGGAACTTTCTGCGCGACCCCTCCCCCTTGCGCCAGCACCGTAGCCTGCGCCTGCACCTGCACCTGCACCTGCACCTGCACCTGCGCAACCCCTTCCCCACCCCCGCGCACCGAGTCCGCGGATTGCGTTCGCGGAACCGTTTTGCGCCGCACGGTCGGCGGAGGGCCCGCAATCCCCGGTCGACGCGGCGACGTAAGAACGCCACTGGCGCCGCTGGCGCCGCCGGTAGTAGTCGCTACGGAGGCGGCTCGCGGAAGTTGTTTGCTGGTTGAAATTGAAGAAGAAGCGGTGGGCAGGAGCACAAGCGACAGCGCGGATGAAGGCGACGTTGGCGGCGAGCGCCGCCGCGGCGCAGATGGGGACTTGGGCGCGGCGGGCTCATCCGGTTGCGCCTTTTGCGCGCTCGTGGTTTGCGCGCCCGTCGTGACCAGCTGGTCCGTCGGAACATCCGCGCCCGTGACTTGCGCGGTCAACGGAACTTGTGCGCTCGTGACTTCCGCTACAGCCGTGAGGTGTGCGCTCGCGACTCCGACACGCGAGCTCGGAAGGTGCGTGCTCACGACCGTACTTAACGAGCAGCAGCGGCGATGCGTCGCGGCGCCTTTCACCGAGCCTCGACGGCCGTCGCCGGTAGCGGATCTGCCGTTACCGCCGCCACTCCCGCCACCACCTCCACTGCCTTCGTCGCCGCGATTCCCGCCGCCGCGAGAATTAGGAGCTGTGGGGGCTGCGACAACCTCTGGGACGTCTGCTGCGGCGGTACTCGCGCGGGTGATGCCGACGCGACTGAATCGCCGCGGGCCAGAAGCACCGCCGATATTGGCTTCAACATCAGCAGCAGTTGCGGAATCATTTGTCGCAACACCCGGTGATGCGCGGTTTAGGCTTCCAACCGCCACGCCTGCCGCGCCCGCCGCTCCCCCCGCGCCGGCCGTTACCAGGGACCTATGGAACTGATTCCAGTCGAAGCGCGCCGACCAGAGTGCCGCCTCCTGCGTCGCCGACAGTTTTGGGCTTCCGCCGTTGGAAGAGGAGAGGGGGGGAGGCGCGGGAAAGGAGAGAGGGGGAGGCGCAGGAGACGAGAGGGGGAGAGGCGCGGGGGAGAGGGTCGGCGCGCGGAGAAAAAACGCGGAAGAATCGTCTTCGCAACCTGCAAGGGCGGAGTTGGATCTGATGTGCGGGAGGATGGCGCGGGGACCTGACGTGCACGGTGATGTTTGGATTAACTCCTGTTGCTCCGCCTGCTCCTGCTGCTTCTGCTGCGCGAACTCTGTCTCCTCCCTTTCAGTAGCGTCCGCGGAAACGTCACTCGGCGCGTGTCCGACGAGCGAGCTTGCCTCCGATACTTGTCGATGCGCCATGTACGGCGGCGGCGGGGCGTGCGCGGCGGAGAAAGAGTGGCGCCGCTGATCACGTGGTGGCGTGGTCTGCTGCAGTTGGCAGTGCTGGTGTTGCGGGGTGTGCTGCTCTTGCGGGGTGTGCGGGTGTTGCGGGGTGTGCAGGAGTCGTGGGGAGCGGGGGGGGTCCGCCTGGAGACCAGCTGAAGGTGACGAGGCTCGACTGCTACAATTACGGCGGTTATGTCGCAAAGTGGATTCCTGGTTTGCACGACTTTGAGTCGTGGGTAGGCGAGCCGCGGAAACGGCAGCGGCCATGGGGGAGAGGATTGCCTCTCCTTGACGTGCTACGCGCCGAGCTACCGAGATTCTCTTTTCGGAGGGAGGTCGCAGAATACGAGTCAGGTGCGGAACAATTGCACGATTACCCGGAGCGGCGATGACTAGCAGCAGGAGCAGCAGCAGAAAGTACGTTCAATAGGTATTGGTGGTATCGACGCGGCGAGGTATTCCACTTGAGACACATGTCCTGCTGAACTGAACAGCTAAAGCGGTCTTTGCAGCGGGTAGTTAACGTAGTAGAGACCAAGCGGCCCTACAACCAGAAACCGTGTCGAGGTTAAATGTCTTATGGGAGACGTGTACGAGGGTCGAAAAAGCATCGGATACAGCAGCTTTTAGAAATGGTGCGTTGCGCGGCGTGGCGATTGCTGATTCCGTTGCGTGGACTGGTCCGACCAATCAGGCCTAAGTGTGAGGCCCAATGATGATGACATTGGTTCATGAAATACGGAAAGAGGCTCTTTAGGGCGAATCAACCGGCGGAAGGAAACTCGGTCGTAGGGGCCATGGTGCAGCCATAGGCTTGCCGCTCACAAATAGTTGTCTCAGCGAGTGAATTGGTGTTCCTGACTGTGAGGATGGTCGGGAGAAAAGCGGCGGTAGGGCGGTTTCGAAGACGTGTTCGCGAGTGAGTGCGCGAAAAGCAGAAGTGCTGATATAGCCAACACAACAGCAAAATTTGACAGGAGAATTCTACTGGCCAGCACAATGCGAGCCTGTTTGCCCTCGACAGGTGTTACTGCAGGATAACATCCAGTGAAGTTCAACACCGCAAAGTGGATTTCTCTGGTGTCACACGGTTTACTACGTTTAGTAACGGTTGGAAGAGATTTGAAGAGAGCTTCCCTTGAACGCAAGTTTGCCGCACCAGATTGGAGGTGCCACTGCTGAGCTGTAGTTGGCGTTGCGTTGGCCCAGGGCAGGGCTGCGACACCAAAGCACACAACTCTATCCGCGCTGCGATGCGCTGGTTTGTGTTTTGCTCGGCTGGGTTGGCTGCCTTGGGCTGGACCGCAAAACTGAAACACGAGCACAGCTATGGGACGAGAGGGGTGCAGGTGGAATGGAAAGGGGGGTTTTGGGCGGAAAAGTGCAGATTTTGTTTTCCAGCTGGCGGACAACAGTTGGGGCTGGCACACTGTAGTAGAGTGAATCTCTGGGATATAAATGTCGTTAACGACATTTAACACCACAACATAAGGGAGAATGGAAAACTCGCCGCAGCAAACTTAACTTTTGCGTCCTTCTAGCCCTAAGGGCGTGTTAAATCGCAAACTCCAAAAATTCGGCCACAATCCGTCGGGCCGTCTGCGAAGGTAACCAGCTTGCGACAATCGTAAGTCAAGTGGTGAACGTCGCAAATTTCGTTAAAACTTTACGAATTTGATGGCCGTTTAAAAAGTCGACACGAAAACGACGCCGAGTCGACTCCAAAACGGCCAAGTATTCGACACAGTGTGCGACAAACGCCTGCGACGTCGCACGGTATTGCCCAACGACAGAATTTGTGATCGCGTCAAATGAGAAATATCGCCGTCAATAGTGCGACCTCGTCGCACATACTAAACTACTGTAGTAACTGCAAATTTAACAACTTTTCCGAACCAGCCTGCAATCCGGCCACCAAAGTTGTTAAATTGCCAAAACTGTAAATTTTTGCTGTTAAAGAGTCGACTCTGATTCGGCCACCTCGTCGTTGTTCGCGAAAAATAAGACGACCATTTGGTCGTCAAAAATTCGGCCACACCCTATTTTCGGAATTGTGTGGCGATTTAACACGCCCTAAGCGGTGGTCACATTTCAGTCACCTTGTGGGTTCGAGGGGTTATTGCGAGAACATATACAGTACTGTGTTGCTGTGTTCTCCCAACAAGTACTGACCCGAAGATCAACACAGCAGCAACCCAGCCCATAATTCCACCAGAAAGCCTTGACCCTTTCGGGCAACCCATTGCATTGTGTACAGCTGTCATGGCAAGGCCCAAAACTTTCAACATATCTCGTACAGTTACGCGAATATCAATGTACACCTGGTCCGCGTTAAATTAACCACCGGTATCTGAACTGCGTTTGTCGGTATGCTGGGTGTTTTCTGTTGGGTGGCCAGAAATCGCTGTTCACACTTGACCGAACCAAGTTGGAGAATCGCTGAGCCTTTTTTCGATATTTCAGCTCGCGCCGCGCATGGGGCAGGCGACTTTTCCACCAGGATTTTCACGACAAAATCTGCACCGTCGATGTTCTTACTTTCCTGACACTCGAACATTCCAGATGGCGAGAAAATCCACGGTGCTCCTTTTGAGGAGTACTATCAGAACTTTCCATGCTGTTCAGATATTTGGTGGTGAAAATAGTGACCCAAATTTTGCACCTCTATTTTCACCACGGCCAGATAATCCAAAATCGTGCTACCCATTTTCGCGCGGTTAAAATACCGCGGACTAGGTGTACATTGACATCCACATCGATCGAATCGAGGATACTCACACAAAAAGAACAAAACCCACATCAGAGCGGATGCACTTTCGGTTGTACGAGCCAGGCCAACAAGCTACCGTACAGTTTCTTGGCCCACTTGCACTCTCGTCGGGCCCCACAACACTGTACGGGAGCTGGGATCCAGTCCCCGTACATTTAAAGCTCGCGTCTCATATTTACAAACGTTTAACACTTGGTTGGGAAACTACGAACATGATTGGTTCACGAGTGACGAATTTTTTCACGAGCGGAGGAAATATATGGGCGAAGTTGTGAAGAACTGAGGCCAAAACCACACCTCAGGGGCAGGTTTGGATCACGTCCGCACCTTGTAGGACAGGTTTGGCGTGAGTGTACTGTACTTTGTGCGACCAACCCTGACGACGGAAACACCGATTGTGCAAGGGAGAGAAGTGGCAGGGAAAAACGAAGTGCCATCACGCGCTCTCCGGCTATACATCCTTACACGTAGTCATAACAATACCACTGCATTAGTAAGCAATCTTCTGTCCAAAGGCGTGAAGAAAGTGAAACATGTAACTGTGGGGAGCAGCAGTAGCGCACCCTCTTGCGTATGCCCGTGATTAGGTTATAGCCGTCACATTCCCGCCACCCTATCGCCGCTTCCCGCCACCCGTCTCCCCTGTTCGCCGCCCAATCTCCCGTGCTCGCCGCCCGATCTCCCCTTCCCGCGGCCCGATCTCCCCTTCCTGCCGCCCGATATCCCCTTCCCGCATCCTCTCGCCTTTCCGCGTAGCCTCCTCTCGCCTCTCCGCGCGGCCTCCTCTCGCCTCTCCGCGCGGCCTCCTCTCGTCTCTCCGCGCGGCCTCCTCTCGCCTCTCCGCGCGGCCTCCTCTCACCTCTCCGCGCGGCCTCCTCTCGCCTCCCCGCGCCGTCTCCTCTCGCCTCCCCGCGCGGCCTCCTCTCGCCTCTCCGCGCGGCCTCCTCTCGCCTCCTCTCGCCACTCCGCGCGGCCTCCTCTCGCCTCTCCGCGCGGCCTCCTCTCGCCTCTCCGCGCGGCCTCCTCTCGCCTCCCCGCGCGGCCTCCTCTCGCCTCTCCGCGCGGCCTCCTCTCCCCTCCCTTTGCCCTCGCTACCCCCTCCCATCGCCATCGCTTCCCCCTCCCGTCGCCCTCGCTTCCCCCTCCCATCGCCCTCGCTTCCCCCTCCCATCGCCCTCGCTTCCCCCTCCCATCGCCCTCGCTTCCCCCTCCCATCGCCCTCGCTTCCCCCTCCCATCGCCCTCGCTTCCCCCTCCCGTCGCCCTCGCTTCCCCCTCCCTTTGCCCTCGCTTCCCCCTCCCATCGCCATCGCTTCCCCCTCCCATCGCCCTTGCTTCCCCCTCCCGTCGCCCTTGCTTCCCCCTCCCGTCGCCCTCGCTTCCCCCGCCCATCGCTAGTCCACTTGCGCCATCTGTCAGCGTGGGGCAGCAGCACCACCAACGCCTCCTCCTCTCACCTCCTTGCCTTCCTCTTCCCCCTCTCCCCCCCAAACCCCCACCCACTCTTCCCCTGCAGTTGCTGGTTCACTTGCGCCATCTGTCAGTGTGGGGCAGCAGCATCACCAACGCCTCTGCGCCGCTGCTCCCTTTTCCCCCACTCCCACCATCCTCTTTCCACCCCCGCCTCTCCCCCTTCGCCTGCAGTCGCTCGTTCACTTGCGCCATCTGTCAGTGTGGGGCAGCAGCATCACCAACGCCTCTGCGCCGCTGCTCCCCTTCCCCCACTCCCACCATCCTCTTTCCACCCCCGCCTCTCCCCCTTCCCCTGCAGTCGCTCGTTCACTTGCGCCATCTGTCAGTGTGGGGCAGCAGCATCACCAACGCCTCTGCGCCGCTGCTCCCTTTTCCCCCACTCCCACCATCCTCTTTCCACCCCCGCCTCTCCCCCTTCCCCTGCAGTCGCTCGTTCACTTGCGCCATCTGTCAGTGTGGGGCAGCAGCATCACCAACGCCTCTGCGCCGCTGCTCCCTTTTCCCCCACTCCCACCATCCTCTTTCCACCCCCGCCTCTCCCCCTTCGCCTGCAGTCGCTCGTTCACTTGCGCCATCTGTCAGTGTGGGGCAGCAGCATCACCAGCGCCTCTGCCTCGCTGCTCCTCGCCTTCCCCCGCCTGCTCTCCGCCAACCTCGCCTGGACTGCCCTCTCCCACCTCCCCGCCCACCCCTCCCTCACCGCCCTCCACCTCTCCCACTGCCCCCTGCTTTCCATTGGCTTCCCTCTCCCCTCCTCCTCATCCTCTCCCTCCGCCTCCTCTCCTTCCTCCTCTCACTCCTCCTCCTCTTCCTCCTTCCCCCTCACTCATCTGGTTCTCTCTGGTGCCTCAATCGCTCCTCCCTCCTCCCTCTTCCCTCCTCACCTCCTCGCCTTCCTCACTCACCTCACCTCGACCCCTCCACTGCTGCTGTCCCTGACGCCCTTCTGTTACACCTCGCCCACTCCCTTCCCCACACGGTACGTTAGCTCCTCACCACTCTCCCTCACACACCTTGATCTCTCTGGCTGACTCTGTTTCCCCTGCTCATTCTCTTCCCCTCGGCTCACTCTGTTTGGCCTGCTCATTCTCTTTCCCCCGGCTCACTCTGTTTGGCCTGCTCATTCTCTTCCCCCCGGCTCACTCTGTTTCCCCTGCTCATTCTCTCCCCCCCGGCTCACTCTGTTTCCCCTGCTCCTTCACTTCCCCCCGGCTCGCTTTGTTTCTTCCTGTTCACTCTAATTTCCGCTACTCAGTCTGTTCCCCCTTTCACTCACCCCCATTTCCAGCCGCGCAGGGTACAGGTCCCAGCACCATGGCCCAGGGTTTATTGCATGCAGTGTAGCAGCCAAGAGTGGCCCAAAAACATTACATTTCTAGCTGTCTTCTTGGTGACATTAGTCAGTTGCAAAGTACTTCCTTTGTAGTGGTCATGTGCATGGCTGCTTCTGAGCAAAGTGTTTGTATTATAACAAAGCATCCAACATCAATATACGGCATGGCCAATCATTGTAGCACTCTCAAACAGTCAACACATCACCACAACCAGATGCATAGCAGACATGTATACAAACACAAACCAGGAAATAAGATGTGACATGGCTGTGCAGCAGGGAAGTATACAAGATAATGAGAAGGACAAGCAGCCAACACGGGAAATGATAACGCAAGGTCCCTCGATTTATGCATACAGTTGAAGAGGAACAGAAGAAGGGATGAAAAGAGGAAGGGTGGAAAAGAGGGAGGAACTGATGAAGGGAGGAACGGCGGGGGAGAAGAACACGACAGCACTCACCAGCACAGCACTCACCAGCACTGCACTCACCAGCACAGCACTCACCAGCACTGCACTCACCAGCACAGCACTCACCAGCACAGCACTCACCAGCACTGCACTCACCAGCACTGCACTCACCAGCACTGCACTCACCAGCACAGCACTCACCAGCACTGCACTCACCAGCACTGCACTCACCAGCACTGCACTCACCAGCACAGCACTCACCAGCACAGCACTCACCAGCACTGCACTCACCAGCACTGCACTCACCAGCACTGCACTCACCAGCACTGCACTCACCAGCACTGCACTCACCAGCACTGCACTCACCAGCACAGCACTCACCAGCACTGCACTCACCAGCACTGCACTCACCAGCACTGCACTCACCAGCACTGCACTCACCAGCACTGCACTCACCAGCACTGCACTCACCAGCACTGCACTCACCAGCACTGCACTCACCAGCACAGCACTCCACAGCACAGCACTCACCAGCACTGCACTCACCAGCGCTGCACTCACCAGCACTGCACTCACCAGCACAGCACTCACCAGCACAGCACTCACCAGCACTGCACTCACCAGCACAGCACTCACCAGCACTGCACTCACCAGCACAGCACTCACCAGCACTGCACTCACCAGCACTGCACTCACCAGCACTGCACTCACCAGCACAGCACTCACCAGCACAGCACTCACCAGCACTGCACTCACCAGCACTGCACTCACCAGCACTGCACTCACCAGCACAGCACTCACCAGCACTGCACTCACCAGCACTGCACTCACCAGCACAGCACTCACCAGCACTGCACTCACCAGCACTGCACTCACCAGCACAGCACTCACCAGCACTGCACTCACCAGCACTGCACTCACCAGCACTGCACTCACCAGCACTGCACTCACCAGCACAGCACTCACCAGCACAGCACTCACCAGCACAGCACTCACCAGCACTGCACTCACCAGCACTGCACTCACCAGCACTGCACTCACCAGCACAGCACTCACCAGCACAGTACTCACCAGCACTGCACTCACCAGCACTGCACTCACCAGCACAGCACTCACCAGCACAGCACTCACCAGCACTGCACTCACCAGCACAGCACTCACCAGCACCACCAGCACAGCACTCACCAGCACTGCACTCACCAGCACTGCACTCACCAGCACAGCACTCACCAGCACTGCACTCACCAGCACTGCACTCACCAGCACTGCACTCACCAGCACTGCACTCACCAGCACTGCACTCACCAGCACAGCACTCACCAGCACAGCACTCACCAGCACTGCACTCACCAGCACAGCACTCACCAGCACTGCACTCACCAGCACTGCACTCACCAGCACAGCACTCACCAGCACTGCACTCACCAGCACTGCACTCACCAGCACTGCACTCACCAGCACTGCACTCACCAGCACAGCACTCACCAGCACAGCACTCACCAGCACTGCACTCACCAGCACTGCACTCACCAGCACTGCACTCACCAGCACAGCACTCACCAGCACTGCACTCACCAGCACTGCACTCACCAGCACAGCACTCACCAGCACTGCACTCACCAGCACTGCAGGGTGGGTGAGTGAGCAGGGAGTGTGAGTGAGCAGGGTGTGTGAGTGAGAAGGGTGACAACTACAGCATTGACTATGGCAATCCCCCCTGTTGGCGCCCACTGCTGCTTCTGTGTCGGAGGTGTGTGGTATGCCACCACTTCCTTGAAGGCTGCTGCTGCCGCCCACAGAGGGCCAGAACAAGGGGGAAAACGGAGGGAAGGAGAAGGGGAAAGGGAGGGAGGGAGAAGGGTGTGAGAGAGGGACGGGTGTGAGAGAGGGATGGGTGTGAGAGAGGGACGGGTGTGAGAGAGGGACGGGTGTGAGAGAAGGACGGAAGTGAGAGAGGGACGGGATTGATTGAGGGAGTGAGAAAGCGCGGTGGCATCGTTCTCGCGTGAGGAGGGTGCGAGAGCAACGGGTGAGAATGCGGGACGACAGTGACTGCGGAACGGGTGGGATTGCTGCGTGCTACGAGGTGAGCGAGGAACGGAGCAGCGAGGAGAGGAACGGAGCAGCGAGGAGAGGAACGGAGCAGCGAGGAGAGGAACGGAGCAGCGAGGAAAGGAACGGAGCAGCGAGGAGAGGAACGGAGCAGCGAGGAGAGGAACGGAGCAGCGAGGAGAGGAACGGAGCAGCGAGGAAAGGAACGGAGCAGCGAGGAGAGGAACGGAGCAGCGAGGAGAGGAACGGAGCAGCGAGGAAAGGAACGGAGCAGCGAGGAGAGGAACGGAGCAGCGAGGAAAGGAACGGAGCAGCGAGGAGAGGAACGGGGCAGCGAGGAAAGGAACGGAGCAGCGAGGAAAGGAACGGAGCAGCGAGGAAAGGAACGGAGCAGCGAGGAGAGGAACGGAGCAGCGAGGAGAGGAACGGAGCAGCGAGGAGAGGAACGGAGCAGCGAGGAGAGGAACGGAGCAGCGAGGAGAGGAACGGAGCAGCGAGGAGAGGAACGGAGCAGCGAGGAGAGGAACGGAGCAGCGAGGAGAGGGGAAGGAGAGGGGGAACTGATGCGGAGCAGAAGGGGAAAGTATGGAAAGCACTGGGGGCATTCATGGGGAGCAAAAGGGGAAAATTTGGGGAGCAAAAGGCATTCTTGGGGAGCAAAAGGGCATTCATGGGGAGCAAAAGGGGTAAATTTGGGGAGCAAAAGGCATTCTTGGGGAGCAAAAGGGCATTCATGGGGAGCAAAAGGCATTCTTCCCCCTCCCTGCTCACCTACCTCCCCCTTATCACAGCACCTCCCTTCCCCCTCTCATCTCACCTCCCAACCACCTCTGACCTCACCTCCCTTTCCACTCCCTAAGCACCTCTCTTCCCCATCTCACATCACTTATTTCCCCCCTGCTAGCACCTCCATCCCCCCTAACTAAGAACCTCTCTTCCTCCTCCGAACTCACACACCTTTCCAACTCCCCTCACCTACCTTCACCGTCTGACCTCTCCTCTCTTCCCCCTCCCTAAGCACATTTTTTCCCCCTCTCACATCACATCCGTTTCCCTTATCTCAACACATCCCCCCCCCCCCCCCTCTGAACTCACCTCCCTTCCCCCTCCCACAACACACACACCCTATCATGGCACCTCCATTCCCCCGTCTGACCTCACATCCCTCCCCCATTCCCTCTCATTCCGCCATTTTCCATCATTTCGCCTCTCATTCCGCCATTTTCCACCATTGCGCCTCTCATTCCGCCATTTACCACCATTTCGCCTCTTATTCCGCCATCTACCACCATTCCGCCTCCCCGCCAACTTCCACCATTCCGCGTCTCATTCCGCCCATCATTTCGCCTCTCTAACCGCCATCTAACGCCATTCCGCCACTAATTCCGCCATCTACCGCCATTCCGCCACTAATTCCGCCATCTACCGCCATTCCGCCAATAATTCCGCCATCCACCGCCATTCCGCCACTAATTCCGCCATCTACCGCCATTCCGCCAAAAATTCCGCCATCCACCGCCATTCCGCCACTAATTCCGCCATATACCACCATTCCGCCACTAATTCCGCATGGAATAAAACCGCAAATCCGTCGAGCTCACCTACTAAAGGCAGGGGAGGAGTGCGAGGCAACCCGGAATGGGGTATCACGATGCAGAATGTAAACGAAGTGATGTGGAGCGGGACTCAAAGAAGTGGGTTGTCTAAGTGCATAATGAGGTTCTTGGTGAATGACCTATGAGGACTTCTCTGTGATAGTATACGCTAGGACACGCGATAGTAAAGCGTAAAACACTTGAACGGGTGCAGGAACTACGCTCCTTGTGAGAATGGTAGAGTTGGGTGTCTCATATTTCCGACCCCTGTAAAATGCTTGGTCTGCACACGGGAGAGTGCGACACTCTGTTGTCGCAGCCTGTGGTTTCGTCGCGCAGGTGTGTCTCCCAGCCTGGTTTGGCGAAACCATACACTGAGTCACCCCACGTTGTTTGTACTGTACATTTGGTTTGCGGGGCCGACCCACATCCAACCAACCTTCCCAAACCTAACCCTTGCTTGGGGGTGTTATGCGACAAAACAGGCTGTTACCGGATCCCAAGCGTTTAACACTTGGTTGGAACGAAAAAATATGAGACGCGAGCTTTAACGATATTATGTGTACATGTCTACGTTACGTGTACATCCTTTTGCTAAACAGAAGTTCCACGAAATTTATGACTGGGGCTCTTCAATTGTGAAAGTAGTCATACCTGTCATACCGGTAGCATGGACATTGTTAAATGGTGATGCTTCTTCGATTCAGGATGCAACCAACACTTTTGGACCCACAACCCGCAATTTAGCATAGGTACAGCAGGTGTAAGTAGGGGAGGGGGAAAAAAGGAAAACCTATATAATATGCTGCAATACAGTACATTACAGTTCATTGCTTGCAACATGTTTGATAGTGACTAGATTGCTACAGGTACAGGATGAAACCCGCTGAACTATTCAGCGGCTATTGCTTTTCAGAATCGGCACCAGTGGCATCATGGACAGTCACTATGTCATAGTCACCAGTGTCCTTGTATTGAGAATCTCTGAACGTGAAGTACCAATACTGGCACATTATCTGTGGTTAAGTGGAGGGGCAGTGAACAAGGTGTTGGAGTGGGAGAGAGAAAGCAAGTGGAGGAGAAATTGGTTCTGCAAGACTAGAGAAGAACCAAAACTGGCCCAAAATCCATGCAGAACGCATGCACATGAAGGAAGTTACCATTGTCGCCTCTAATAACACCCAATTACACCACAAGATTAACAGTCACACCTGATAATTACAACCTTGCGGTCACACCCAACATCATACTACACACGCAATCACGCTCGATAACACCACAACCTTTACAATCACACCTTGCACAATCACAGAACCACTTTACTCACAAGAAGCTCGATAGCTAGGCATGTATGTCACAAGTAAAAGAAAAAAAAAGAAAAAAAAAAGAAAATAGAAAAAAGAGTCGTCTCAAATCTCAAGGTTCTGAAACATCTGAAAGCACAATCGCAGAACCACTTCAATCACGACGAGCGCTATAGCCAGGCATGATGCGTGACACTATCACAGAATTTGGGTTGACTCAAACACCGTGGAAACATGTTCACTCACAAAAAGGTCCATGGCCAGACATGATGCGCTGTCAGCAATCCACGGCAGGTTCGGCCGAACCTGCTTCCACTCCAGCGACCGAATCAGGATACTCCCGAGGTACGCCAGATTCCCAGCCACCGCCAGCGCAAAAGCGGGCGGCGCCAGCCCCTCAACCGCCCCGCGCGCGCAGTTAAGAATGATCGGGGGTAATCGCCCTGTAAAATAGATGCAGGTCATGGCCCAGCCTAGAAACTGCCCGACTGCCCTCAAAAGCAGCTCCTCATGCCGCTCCGGATCGTCTGGGTAGTCAGGATCGTCAGGATCGGAGAAAAAAGTCTCTCGAGTAGAATCATGGCCTTGCGGGGAGATGGGAGTCAGTGCGATAGAATCTGGTACGGAAGGATTTTGGTGGTTCGGGAGAGGCTCGGATGTTGGTACGGGCGGAGGTTTGAGGTGGAGGTTTTGTGGTAGAAGGAGGTGAGTGCTGGTGGTTGGTGCAGGATCAGAAGACTCTTGAGTCGACTCAGAAGGCGTGACAGGTGGCATGTCATTTGCTGCGTCGAGTGTCTGGAGTGCCTGCGATTGACGATCGTGTGGGTGGAAACAGGTGAGATGAAATTCGAGTCGACTCAGAAGGCTTTTGAGTCGACTCAAAAGAGGTGAGATGATATTTGAGTTGACTCAGAAGGCGTGACAGCTGGCATGGCATTTGCTGCGTCGAGTCGAGTGTCTGGAGAGCCTGCGATTGACCATGCCGTGGTTGGAAAAAGAGCGTTTGGGACGTCCGATGCGAGTGAAGTACTGTGGTTTTTTGAGACGTCTCAAAAGTACCCAGGGTATACTGTGTTTGTATCTGGGAGATACAACATCCTTGTGGCACACCCACTGTGTATCTGGGAGGCACTGTGGATGTTGATTGAGAATGACTTTTGAGGCGCCTCAAAAGAACTGTGGCATAGCCCAGGGTACTGGGAGGTACAACATCCTTGTGGCACACCCACTGCGTATCTGGGAGGCACTGTGGATGTTGATTGAGAATGAATTTTGAGGCGCCTCAAAAGAACTGTGGCATAGCCCAGGGTACTGGGAGGTACAACATCCTTGTGGCACACCCACTGTGTATCTGGGAGGCACTGTGGATGTTGATTGAGAATGAATTTTGAGGCGCCTCAAAAGAACTGTGGCATAGCCCAGGGTACTGGGAGGTACAACATCCTTGTGGCACACCCACTGTGTATCTGGGAGGCACTGTGGATGTTGATTGAGAATGACTTTTGAGGCGCCTCAAAAGAACTGTGGCATAGCCCAGGGTACTGGGAGGTACAACATCCTTGTGGCACACCCACTGCGTATCTGGGAGGCACTGTGGATGTTGATTGAGAATGACTTTTGAGGCGCCTCAAAAGAACTGTGGCATAGCCCAAGGTACTGGGAGGTACAACATCCTTGTGGCACACCCACTGTGTATCTGGGAGGCACTGTGGATGTTGATTGAGAATGACTTTTGAGGCGCTTCAAAAGAACTGTGGCATAGCCCAGGGTACTGGGAGGTACAACATCCTTGTGGCACACCCACTGCGTATCTGGGAGGCACTGTGGATGTTGATTGAGAATGACTTTTGAGGCGCCTCAAAAGAACTGTGGCATAGCCCAGGGTACTGGGAGGTACAACATCCTTGTGGCACACCCACTGTGTATCTGGGAGGCACTGTGGATGTTGATTGAGAATGACTTTTGAGGCGCCTCAAAAGAACTGTGGCATAGCCCAGGGTACTGGGAGGTACAACATCCTTGTGGCACACCCACTGTGTATCTGGGAGGCACTGTGGATGTTGATTGAGAATGACTTTTGAGGCGCCTCAAAAGAACTGTGGCATAGCCCAGGGTACTGGGAGGTACAACATCCTTGTGGCACACCCACTGTGTATGTATCTAGGAGGCACTGTGGATGTTGATCGAGAATGGGGGAGATTGACAGACGATTTCTTTCAGGGTGAACATATGGTTCTTCAATCGTCTATCGTCAATCGTCTATCGTCTATCGTCAATCGTCTATCGTCAATCGTCTATAGAAAGATGAAGGTTCTTCAACACAAAGATTCCATCTTTCAGTCATTTGTCCTCGGCCACAAAATCATATGGTACAGAATCCAGGTGGCATAAATAAGCAAGGAGAAGGCATGGTGATCATGGGCACGTAAGTGAGCGTACCTCTAGCAGCTTTCCCGGTGACTTTTGAGTCGACGCAGAAGTCATGTGGCACGTAAGTGAGCATACCTCTAGCAGCTTTCTTGACATTGGCCTGAGGAGGGATGATTGCGCTGCAATGGTGTTGTTCAAATCAGCAAAAACAACTGCAGGTGAGGAGTTTTGAGACGTCTCAAAAGTGAGCATACCTCTAGCAGCTTTCTTGACATTGGCCTGAGGAGGGATGCTTGCGCTGCACTGGTGTTGTTCAAGTCAGCAAAAACAACCGCACGTGAGGAATGTGGGGAGGAGGACGAGGGAGAGGCGAAGGAAGTGGAGGGGAAAGAGGAGGAGGAGGAGGAGGCGGTGGTTCTTGGTGTGTTTGCCCAGGAGTGGAGGGAAGAGGGGAGGGTAGGGTGAAGGGAAGGAGAGGAGGAGAGGCCAAAGACAGCTGATACGGTGACGAGGGCTAGGACCTGGCGTGGTGCGGGGAGAAGGGGAAGCGGAGAGAGGAGCAGAAACACCACAAACAAAAAAGGGATGAGGAGAGAGGAAAACGGGACACTGAGCACAGTGATAGCTGAGATGGTGAGTGGCATGGTAAGGGGAGGCTAGTTTTGAGTCGACTCAAAAGTCACCTGAGTCGACTCAAAAGTCACCTGAGTCGACTCAAATGTCACCTGAGTCGACTCAAATGTCACCTGAGTCGACTCAAATGTCACCTGAGTCGACTCAAATGTCACCTTGGGACACTGAGCACAGTGATAGCTGAGATGGTGAGTGGTGTGCTAAGGGGAGGAGGGGACGAGGGGAAGAGGAGAAGAGGGGAGAGAAGAAGAGGGTACAGGAACAACGTGAGTGGTGAGTACAGGAACAACGTGAGGGTACAGAGGAGGAGAAGAGGGGAGAGAAGAAGAGGGTACAGGAACAACGTGAGATGGCGACAAAGGAAGAGGCACCGGGGGGGTTGCGGGGAAAGCAAATAGCGAGCACAATCACTCACTGCAGAGGGGCAAGCAAGCACACTGACTCACCGCATTGAGGGAGTTTTTTTTGAGACGCCTCAAAAGGGGGTTGCGGGGAAAGCAAGTAGCGAGCACGATCACTCACTGCAGAGGGGCAAGCAAGCACACTGACTCACCGCATTGAGGGAGTTTTTTTTTGAGACGCCTCAAAAGGGGGTTGCGGGGAAAGCAAGTAGCGAGCACAATCACTCACTGCAGAGGGGCAAGCAAGCACACTGACTCACCGCATTGAGGGAGGGGGAAGAGGGGTTGCGGGGAAAGCTGGCTCCAAAGGAGCTGGAGAGAGTGAGACGACGCCAGCTGCCTGAGAAAGACCCTGATGACCTGCGGGGGTTGGGTTGGGGGGAAGGAAGGTGGATAAGGAGTCGAGAAGAGAGGGAGGATGTTCCAATACAGGAAGCGGAGAAAGAGAGAGTGAGACGGGCGCCAGCTGCCTGAAAAAGAACCCGATGAAGGGAAGGAGGGAAGGTGGAAAAGGGAATGGAGTGAGCAGTGGTGAGGAGATACCACCACTAGACAATACACCACACCCCCACCACTCCCACCACCCACCCCCACCACCCCCACCACCCCACCATCACCACAGCCCCACCACAAACCCCATCCATTCCATCCTTACTGCCCAAAGGACTGTCGCTGCGGCATTCCCACTGGAATCGACCTGCTCTTCCCACCACCACTGCCGCCACCACCACCACTGCCGCCACCACCACCACTGCCGCCACCACCACCGCTGCCACCACCGCTGCCACTGCCGCTGCCACTCCCACTGTTCCGCCTCCCTGATGCCCGTCCACCAATCCCCTGGTGCCACGTGTCCCTCTGCTGCTGCCCTCTATTCCCCCCTGCAACTGCGGAGGCTTCAAGGAGGGGGAGCAGTGTGCGGGGGAGTGAAGCCGAATCCTGGATGATTGGGGGAAGGGGAAAAGGGGAAGGGGGGAACAGGGGAACGGGGGAAGGGGGAAGGGGGGAAAGGGGGAAGGGGGAAAGTGGGGAAGGGGGGCATAGATGGGAAAAAGAAGGGCACTGGTGTTATCGGGAAGTGTACAGGTAAGCTGAGGAGGGAACTTCTGAGCCATCTCAATTCCTTAGGAAGGAGAAAGGTTTGGAGAAGCGAAACCCGAGCTGATACCTCGTTAGAATCACAGATCTCGTTAGAATCACAGATCTTGTTAGAATCACAGATCTCGTTAGAATCACAGATCTCGTTAGAATCACAGATCTCGTTAGAATCACAGATCTCGTTAGAATCACAGATCTCGTTAGAATCACAGATCTCGTTAGAATCACAGATCTTGTTAGAATCACAGATCTCGTTAGAATCACAGATCTCACTAGTATCACAGATCTCAGTAGTATCACATACCCCGTTAGCATCCCATCGCTAGCACCTCAAACCTTGTTAGAATAGAATCCCATACCTCATCAATCATGGCGCGATACAGCCTATTGGCTGCACTGTAATCATCCCCATCAGCCATCATCTCCATAATCACCATCACTACCATCATCAGCATCAACAGCACCATCAACACCAGCACCAGAACAATCAAATACCTCATCAATCATGGCGTGATACAGCCCGTTGGGTGCACCGTAATCATCCTCAATATAATCACCATCGTCACTATCATCATCACCACCATCATCAGCACCAACAGCGGCACCACCAGCAGCAGCAGCGGCAGACGCAGAGGTAGTTCCGACAGGGAGGGGACCTTCTAGCAAGGGAGCGTTTCTGCTGGGGGTCGCAAGTCTCCTGCCTCTCCTCTCCCGCCGCCGCTGCTGCCTCATCCTGCTGCACGCTGAGAGCACGTGCTGCAGTACTAGCACGCACGTGGTGCTTGTGTAGAGCTGTGATGTGACAGTATGGGGGGGATTGAGAGAAGTGGGAAGGACGAGGAGCCGCGGGATGAGGGGCAGGAGAGGAGGAAAGACGGTTTTCCCTTTCTGCTGCACGCTGCAGAGAGCACGTGTTTTGAGTCGACTCAAAACACGACAGGAGAGGAGGAAAGACGGTTTTCCCTTTCTGCTGCACGCTGCAGAGAGCACATGTTTTGAGTCGACTCAAAACACGACAGGAGAGGAGGAAAGACGGGTTTTACCTTTCTGCTGCACGCTGCAGAGAGCACGTGTTTTGAGTCGACTCAAAACACGACAGGAGAGGAGGAAAGACGGGTTTTCCCTTTCTGCTGCACGCTGCAGAGAGCACGTGTTTTGAGTCGACTCAAAACACGACAGGAGAGGAGGAAAGACGGGTTTTCCCTTTCTGCTGCACGCTGCAGAGAGCACGTGTTTTGAGTCGACTCAAAACACGACAGGAGAGGAGGAAAGACGGGTTTTCCCTTTCTGCTGCACGCTGCAGAGAGCACGTGCTGCAGCACCAGCAAAAACGGGAAGAGGTAATGATGAATCAAATCAAGGACAAAGCTCATCCGTCGTATCAAGGAGGACACAGAGGACACAAATGATGGCTTTTGGGACGTCTCAAAAGCAGAGCACAAACGGGAGGATGAAATGGGTAGGTACTGGGTCGTTCCAGAATACGACGGATAGAGGTGAAGTGGGGTGACTTTTGAGTCGACTCAAATGTCACCTGAGTCGACTCAAAAGTCAGGACGAAATGGGTAGGTACTGGGTCGTTCCAGAAAACAAAAGATAGATGTGAAGCGGGAGAGAGGGAAGAGAGCGGAGGGCCTTCGGATGTGAAGGGAAAGGAAGGAAGGGAAGGACGTACGATTGCTGTGAAGAGCTGGGTCGGAAGCTGCAGGGATGAGATGCATGCATTTGGTGCCGGCAGACAGAGGAGAAGAGGGAATGGGAGAAGGGAGTGGGGAGAGGTGGGGGAAGGGAAGCACAGGGAGATGGAATGATAGGTGAGCGGTAGGAAAGAGGGAGCACAGGGGAAGGAAAGAGGGAGTGACATAGGGAAAGAAGACAAGGGGGAGGGGAGAAGACGGGATGAGGAGGAGAAGTAACGAGAGAAGCGACAAAGCAACTGAATGGGAATCGGGCGAACGGGCAGTTTACGAAGGAAACGAGGGGCTGGCACACTAGTGGGAATGCAGCGTGACAGGGTTGAATCAAAAGAAAAAAAGAGATGTGGCTCTGTAGCAGTGTACCGTGACAGGATCAAGGAGGCAGCCGAGGAGATTAAATACATCTCTGGAGGGCGGGAAAACGGGTGGTGGAAAGCAGAAGTAACCGGTTTTAGACCGGACGGACGGTGAACACATGGGCAATGCCAGACTCTTAGATAAAAGACAATGTCACCTCGACTTTTGGGGCGGCTCAATGCCAGACGTTTAGCTAAAGTGCAATGTCGCCTCGAATGAAACATGCGCATATTAGTAAACGAAGGTGGACCTGTTTATCACCCTGTGATCCACGTCAGCACCGCCATTCACCCCACAATCCACGTCAGCAGCATGCACCCACCCCACGATCCACGTCAGCACCGTCCACTCATCCCACGATCCACGTCAGCACCAGCGCAAGAGGCACCTCCTCAAGCTCCACGCCGCTGCGCGACGCCTGACAGTTGGCGATCACCTGCGGGACCTCCGCCACCGCCCAGCACGCGATACTAAAAAGACCTAAGTAGAGCGACGCGGCGTCGCGCGCGGAGCACACGCAGTCCCCGAAAACTAGGTACTTCCACCGGGAACAGCTCGACGGCGGGGATCCTGGGGCGGGAATCACGGCCGCGGGACAGGATGGGTCGAAAATGGTCATGGCGGGAAAATGGAGGTACGGATTTTGCCAGGAGGGGATTAATGGTTACGGCGAAATGTGGTACGTTTAGAGTGCGGATTCGAAGAATGACGCGGCGAATGCGAGTTGAAAACCGATGAGAGGGGGTCTGGCAGTCCCTTTTGCCGAATGCAGCCCCGATGGATAAGAGGCTTCCAGATCGCGGTATGTCAAAATGGTCGTATTGAGCGAACTATTCACTGGCCATCCGCCGAAGAGTCAATAGACGTTCGTAGGGCTGACCTAACAAGACTGCCATGCAAACGTTGTCAGGGGGATTGCAACTACATCCATTCGCCTCCTATCTAAAAACCTGTCGCAGTTCGTAGTTACAAGCATGAGAGAATAGTGAATCTGTCTGTAGCCTGTGTTCCTTCATTGAAAAATAAAGCCGCCTCGCCTGCGTGGCTGCTTGCCGCCCTTATTTCGTATCAACAGTGAGTGAGGTGGAAATACCACGTGGTTTGGACTTGAACAGCAGGCTGCCTCTCGATGATTTCCTGGAGCTGGATTGACGGCTCTTACTGCAGAAAGACATGGCTTATCCAATTAGCGTTGTGGAATGTCATCCTCGTGGTAATCTCAAGGTTCGAGGTGGACAACAGCCGCTATGGGTAGCAAGCGAATATGAACGAAACTGGTTACGGAAACGCGATTTGGATGTGAACAATTGCTCCTCCGCCGTCAGTTTGGCCAGCCAATCAATTCGCACACATCGCTTAGGTGCAGCGATTTCATCGCACTAAAAGCAGAAATCGTTTAGGTCCACCGATATCATCGCACATATCGCACATATCGCACATATCGTTTAAACAGTTGTTTTTTCACCAGAAGCAGCAGTTCCCCGGGCCTAGGGTAAGTGGCCCCAAGCTCAGATATTTGCCGTACTTAGTCGTTTTGGTACCAGTAATCCCTCATATTGTTTAGAGAACTTCACTAGGGCATTCTATAGGCTTCTACAACTCATTATGGAGAAGGATAACTGCCAGATAAGCAAATGCGAGGATGAGAATAAGGAAGCGAATGGCTGCAGCAGCGGCGAAGTGCTGAAGCCGTCTCCTACGGGCGTCGATAAATCCGCCAGCAGTGACCGTTGCGCCCAGGATTCCGCCAGCGGTCGCCGTTCCGCAGATGTTGAATTCGAGCCGCTGACCGATAATAAATCCGACCCGTTGAGTTATGGAGATTCCGAGCCCTTGATTGTTGGGCGACCCGAGCTGTTGGCTGTTGGAAGATCTGAGCCGTCCGTTGATGGGAAATCTGATCTTCCAAGTAATAATGTTCTCGAGAAAGCCGTTGATGGAGGATGCGTAGATCCCGCGGAACGGTTAAACAAGAAGCTCTCAGGTGTGTTTTGTGAGCAACGACTTCTGTTCTGAGGCGCTTAAAAAAGAGGATGCACGGATTCCACGAAACGTTTATATGATAATTTCTCAGTTGTGTTCGTTTGAGCCACGAAAGGGGTGAAGAACGGGAGGATGACGGTTTAAAGGGATGGCTGTTTCTTTTTTTTTTTTTAATTCTCTATGTGGCTTCTGAATTTCTGGCTTCGTCTCGTTTCCCCCCCGTTCCCCTTCCTTTGCATTCGTCATTTCGAAACCTGTATCCTCCTCACCCTCTCCGTAGCGCCTGCCTTTCCGAAACGTCTATTAAGGAAGGCCTTTTTTTTCTCCCCCGACCCCTCTTCTCACCCCGCTTAGATATGCACCTGATGGGAGGTGAAGGGGCCAAAACGGGGAGACACGGCGGGGAAAGCGACGAAGCGGAGGGGAAAGGAAGCAAGGGGGACGTTGGAGATGAACGAGCGGGGGATATCGTGGGGATCGCAGGGGGCGGTAGCGCGGAGGGAAATGAAAGGGCTGTAAGAGACGAGAAGCAAGGAGAGGCAAGGGAGGAGAGAAAAGAGGCGCGTGAGGAGGAATCGGTGGAGCAAAGAGGTGAACAGGATGATCCGGTTGCTTTGAGCAATGAGGGCGTATTGGACAGCAGAGAACACGTGTTGAATAGTGAAGGAGGGTCGTTAGGCAATAGGGAGGGCTCTTTACATAGCAGAGAAGGTTCCTTAAATAGTAAAGAAGGGTCGGTGCATAGTAGAGACAGCTCGATTGATAGCTTGCACGGGGAAGATGATGTGAGGGGGCGTGCACAAGGGAAGGGGCCTGCAGGCGTGAAGGGGAAGGGGAATGTAGGTGGGATAGCGAAGGGGCAGAGGGGTAGGGGAGACGCAGCAGCAGCAAGAGGGGGAGGGGGAGGCAGTACGGTTGACGATAGTGATGGTGATAGTGTGGAGAGCGGGTTTCGTGGTGGGGTGATCAGCAGTAGGGGCAGGGGCGCGAAGGTGAAGGGGAATGCAGACGAAACAGCGAAGGGGCAGAGGGGTAGGAGAGGTGCAGCAGCAGCAGCAGCAAAAGGAAGAGGGGGAGGCAGTACGGTTGATGATAGCGATAGTGACAGTGTGGAGAGCGGGTTTTGCGGTGGCGGAGTGATCAGTAGCAGGGGCAGAGGCGCCCGCAGGTACAGCTCTGGTGCCGTTGCTTCTGGTGGTGGCGGTGGTGGTGGGGGTGATGATAGCGATAGTGACAGTGACGAGAGCACAGCAGGAAGCAAGCCGGTTGAGGGGGGAGGAGGAGAGGGAGTGGGAGAAGAGGAGGAAGAAGGAGGAGGGAGAGGGGACGATTCAGAGGGGGCAGGTCGGGGAGGAGGGATGGGTGGTGGGCGAGAGGGGCGAGGGTGGGGAGGTAACCCCTTGTGGCGTGAGGCGTATGAGGGGGAAAGTTCTGGTGGCGGTGCTGCTGCTGGTGCTGCTGCTGGTGGTGCTGGTGGTGCTGGTGGTGGTCGTGGTGGTGCGTCCACTGCTGCTGGTGGTGGTTGGGAAAGGGGAAGGGGGAGTGGGAGGCAGAACGGTGGATGGGAGAGAGGGCGTGAGTGGGGTAGCAAGGGGGGAGGGAGGGATGACACGAGTAGTGCCGCTGTTGGTGGTGCTGCTGGTGGTGGGGGACAAGGGAGCATGAAGATGGGAATGGGGATGGGGATGGAGGGAGGAAAGGCAAGAAGGAGGATAGACGGTCAACACCAGTTTATGAAGGGCATCGTAAGTTTTGCTGCGTCATTAGCTGGGTTTGTTTCCTAGACGATTTCAAAACGGAGGATAGACGGACAACACCAGTTTATGAACGTCATTGTGAGTTTTGCTGCATTGTTACATGGAACGATAATTATTTCTGCCTCTTGCTATGCTGCTGTGCTTCTTGTAACGCTGCTTCGGTATGCCCATATCACTTGAATGGGACGCTTGACGTAGTGAGCGTGGATTATTATTATGATTATATATATATGTATATTTTCTATATATATATGTATATTTTCCAGAAATCTCCCCTATCAGGTGCAGAAGCACAGGGATGTGCAGGAACGACCCTTGAATCGTCTAAAAAATCCAATCTACTTTTCGCTGTTCATCCCCCTTACTCTTTCATCCGGTTCAGGTGCAGATGTATAGAGAGGTGTATAAGCGGCTGTACCAAGTTGCTGCTGCCACTGGCATCACACCCATTGCTGCTGCTGCTGCTGCTGCTGCTGCTGCTGCTGCTGCTGCTGCTGCTGCTGCTGCTGCTGCTGCTGCTGCTGCCAAGCGAATGAAGACCCCTCACTTAAACACCTTCACGCATTTTCTCCCTCATCACCCCAACCCCAACCCCTTCACCCATTTTCTCACCTCATCAGGTGCAAGTGCAGAAGGATAGGGAGGTATATGAGCGACTGTATCAAGCTGCTGCTGCCACCGGCATCACACCCGTTGCTGCCGCTGCCACTGCTGCCAAGCAGATGAGGGAGGGGGGAGCTGTGGCGGGCAAGGGAGATAGGGAGGGAGAAAGAGCGGGTTTGGAAAGGGGAGATAGGGCAGGAGAAGGAGCAGATAGAGGGAGGGAAGGGGTGACAGGAGGAGTGAAGAAGGAGCAGCAGCAGGTGGGTCCGGTGGACGGGGAAAGAGAGGGGATGAAATCAGGGAAGGATGGGGAGCGAAGGGCAGGGAGGCACCAGCACCAGCACCACCAGCAGAAGAGGGGGGAGCAGAGAGGGGAGCAGAGAGGGGAGCGTGGTGATACGCATAGGAAAGGCAAGGAGAGGGAAGGGGTTCTTGTGGAAGACTTAGAGGAAGGGACAGGAGAGACAGGCGGAGGGGATGTGAGGGGGAGGGGAGGAGGGAGGGGTAGCTGGGAGGAGAAGAGAGAAGTGGATTGGAGGTGGGGGAAAAGTACTGGGCAAGGAGGAGAGGGAGGGGGTAGCAGCAGGCAGGAAAGGCTCGAATTGAGCAACAGTAGGGCGGAGAGGAGTGGGGGGAGGAAGAGTGGGGAGAGGAGGGGTGTTGAAGAGAAGCGTGGGGAGGAGAGGCGTGGGGAAGAGCGATCCAAGGCGGGCAAGGGCAACGGGCAGCAGAGTGAAAGAGAGAGGGCGGACGGGCCTGGTACCAGTGGTGATGGCAGCGCTGGCACTGTTGGAAGAGAGGGTGGGCGGAGGAGGGTGAGCGGGCTGGGAGGTGGTAACCGCCTACTAGACGCAGCGTTTGCCCCTGTGATAGGTGGTTTCCACCCTGGTGGCGCCCAGCCTGGTGGTTTCCACCCGGGAAGCTCTCCTTCCGGAGGCTTGACCCAGGGGAGGTTCCATTCAGGAGCAGGCGCAGGCAGGGGGGGCAGGGGTGCTGGCTTGGGGGGCAGGGCTCGAGGCAATGGGGTTGCTGGGGGGGGTATGGTGGGTGTGGCTGCAGTGACAGCAGATAGGCCTGTGAGTGCGGAGGGTAGGAGAGGGGAGAAGCCAGGGCAGAAGCAGAGAAGAGAGCAGGACGAGGCTGCAGATGAGGTCAGCTCGCTGCCGTTTTCACGCTTGAGCCTTGAGGCAAAGACTGATGATGGACAGCAAGAGCAAGCACATGGGGCGAGGACTGGTGATGAGAGCAAGGAGAAGGGGAAAGGAGGAGTCGGGAGCGGTCCGTTTCTATTCGGTGCTGCAGGAACAGCAGGAGCTGCAGCAGGAGCAGCAGCAGGTGCCACCACTGCAGTTCATGCTGCCCCTACCACCACCACCACCACCACCCCGCCTGCTGCTGCAAGGGGTAGCAAGGTTCAAGTGCACGGAATCAGCACAAGTGGGCCTCCACAACATGCAACCCCCATTCCAGCCCATACCCCTGATCCTGCCGTCGGTACCCCTGAGGCTCCTGAACGCATGGCTGCTCCCTGTCTTGCTGCTGTCCCCGCCCATGCACCTGGTCGTAACCTTGCGAGCCCTGCTCCTGACCCTGCTCCTGCTGTCCCTGCTCCTGCTCACCCTTCTACTCACGCTCCCCATGACGCCTTGAACCAGCCTAGTCCCGCCCCTGGCTCTGGTGACGTGGCAGCATTGGGTTTGGCTCCTCAAGAGGGCCTAGCCTCGCCCTGTGGGCTGAGCTGGGCGGATATGGTGGATGAGGATGAGGCAAATGGGGAGGGGAGGGGGAGAAAAGAGGATGGGATAGTGGAAATAAAGGGAGGTGGTTCGGCGGGTGATAAGCCGGGGGTTGGGCTGTACGTCCCGCCCTTCAGGGCAGCACAAGCGCATGGTGTCTCCAAGAAATGACCAGCTTCAGATTTTATTTTGTTGAGGTTTGAGAAATTGTTGGTCCAGATTTGGAGTGTTTTTAAGTTGTGTAGTAAACATATATTTGTAACGAATAACGAGGCGACCGTTGTCTCGGCAGCCACAATCCTTGAAGCTGTCCCCTTCAGCCCAGTCCAGTCCAGCACAGCATCGAGATTGCCGACTGCTCCTTCCACCATCAACAACCGTTTCCGCCACGGCACACTGCACACCACCGCACCCAATACCTTCAGGACATCCCAACTTCGATTTGCGTGTGCTGGGAGGTTCACATTTTCACAGCCTCGCTGGGCGTAAGGAAATGGTTGATGACACAAGTGGCGAAAGGTTATTATCTGCGACTTCCTTTAGTACTGACAGGTTCGCTCAGGCATCACTAAGCGGCCGTGTTCGCCGCCAGATTGCGTCGCGCGTGTTAACGGAGCTGGCTAAGTGTCCAGCGTAAGCACCCCGTAGTTGCACATTGCGTTTTGACGAGGCGAGCTACAGACAGGGCGGATTTGCTTGGACGAGAGCTGGCTCGTAACGTACTATCCGTTCGTCTTGAGGCGCCTCAAAACTAGACGGGGCGGATTTGCTTGGACGATAGCTGGCTCGTAACGTACTATCCGTTCGTCAAGCGTTAGTGCAGCGTATCCAGCGGAACCACCCCGTAGTTACTTTTGAGTCGACTCAAGAGTCACTTTCTCACGCGTTATCGCAGGGTATCCATCGTAACCACGCCGTAGCTGCACATTTCATTTAGAAGAGGCGAACACGTACGAGGCTGTTACGTTTGGGGACCTGCTAATGACCTGCTAATGACCTGCTGATGACCTGCGCGAAGGAAGTCCGCGAGGCGACGATCACTGTTGCGGCGAGAGCTTGCTAGTTGTTGCGAATGGTTGGCGACGAAGTTACGCACCGTTCGCGATTAGTAGTGTCTCTTCGTCCGTCATGAGGCTTACTAGGACGCTTGCTGCGTGATTGGACGTAGTTTTCCAGGACCGTGAAATCCGGTCATCGACCAGTAGACAGGCGGAGAGTAATCAATCGCAAACCCTGCGCCAGTCGCGACGCTGCAAGCAGTCTCGTCCCGAACTTAGTAGCCGTGAATCCATTCTTTAGTCGACCACAAAATCGGCTGCATCCATCCATCATCTTCCCGAAGCTGGTCGCCGTGAAACGCGGGACCGGGGTGATAGTCGGTCGCAATGGCGGGATGGCTGCGAGCGGCTGAAGGTAGGCAATGACACCGTCTCACAGTGAGGGTGACTATGTTGGGGGTGAAAGTAGGCATTGCCGACACCGTTACTGTGACAGTGACTATGTCGGGGGTGTAGATGCTGTTCATGACGAGGTTACAGGCGAAGCCGTGGAAAAGCGCAGTGAGTGTGGCGGCTCTTAATAACGACTTCCCATCGTCCTCTCCCTCCTCTCCCTTCTCCCCCCCTCCCCTCCTCCCCAACCCCTTCCACTCTCCCAGAGCTGCTAGAAGCCGTGGATCGCACAGTGAGTGTGGCGGCACGTATTGAGGGCTTTGCTCCGGCCGCTGCTCCGTGTGTTGCCAAAAACTCCATCCGTATTACAGCTCCCTCCTTTCCCCCTCTCATCCCCCCCTATCCTTGCGTCCCTTTCCCCCCAACGCCCTTTCCCTCCGCCTCTCTCCCCCTTCTCCCTTCTCCCCCTTTCACCTTCCCCTTCTCCCCTCTCTCCCAGAGCTACTAGAAGCGATGGATCGCACAGTGAGTGTGGCGGCACAGAATGAGGGCTTTGCTCCGCTTGCGGCTCCGTGTGTTGCCAGAAACACCGTCCCTACTACCTTTCCCTCCTTCGTCCCACTCTTCTTCCCCTCTCCCAGAGCTACTAGAAGCGGTGGATCGCACAGTGAGTGTGGCGGCACGAAATGAGGATTCAGCTCTGGAGGAGCAGCTAGCAGGTGAAACGGGAAGTTGAGTTCGGTTGGGTGCGGTTGGGCAGGGCTGGTAAGGGTGGAGGACGTTATTATGCGACTTAAGGCGTCCCCTGTTGAAGCTGGCAGCAGGTGGGGAGCGCAGTGCGGTTGGGCTGGGTTGGGACGGGTGGATAACTATCCGAGTCAGAGTGAGAGAGGGATTTGATGAATGGAATTTAGTTAGTCATTGACCCTGGCTTTTCCTTTCCCTCGTTCCTCCCACCCCCATCTATTGTGCGCCGTACGTCCATTGGAGCAGCACTGGAGCCTGTGGGAGTGCGCAAGACACCAGCAGCAAGGGAAAAGGTGAGTAGCCGACTTGCAGCAGCTGTGCCTGTGCCGTTGATAGGGTAATACGATGGTATGTATGTGCTGGCATACGCCGATAGGGGGAGAAATTGTCATCTCTCTAATGAGATCCTGGAATGGCGAGCTCGGTTTGGGATTGGTTGGTTATGAGTGTTGTAACACCCGGTTTTCTGGTATGACATGTCGAGTGGTTCGCTCGTACCTCTGTTATAACGTGTACACATGTAAAGAAGGGGATTTTTTAATACACCTTCTAATGTACTTTTTTGTTTGTTTTGTTTTCCCATCCCCAACAATCTCTCTGTTGATGCACATGCTTACAGGGCAAGCTAGACCGGTCGAAATCGAAGCCAACCTCTAGTAGAGCCACTAACGGGGCAGCTCTTAAAGGATCCATCAGCGCTCCATCCCTAGACGAGCCTGGAAGCTCCTCCGAAACAGAGGGAAAAGCAGCAGGCACAGCAGGGGTGCGAGGAGGGGGGAAGGGTGCAGGTGGCGGCAGGAGAAAGAAGGTCGAGGCTAGCTCTAGTGGAGGGTCGACTGGTGGAGGCTCAACTGGTGGAGGTTCAACTGGTGGGGGATCAGCAGCAGGAGGATCTACTGGTAAAGGGTTAACCGGAGGGGGTACTACTACCATGACTGTTGGGAGCTTGATCGCTGCTGGGGCAGGGTCTGACACTCTCCTTGCGGATAGTACTGCTGCTGCGCGCCTTGATACAGGTGCAGACCGGAGAAGGGCAGGTGTGGAAGCAGCAGCAGGTGCAGAGGAAGGAGCAGCAGGGGGAGCATCAGCGGGAGAAGCAGCAGGAGGGGGGAATGGGAGCCTGAGTTCTGATGCTAGTAAGGCAGCTGTTGCTGCTGCTGCTGCTGCTGCTGCTACTGCTGCTGCTGCTGCCACGACCGGAGCTGCTGAGGAGGCAGGTCTGGATGCGGGGCCAGCAGCTGGTTTGGCAGCTGGGTTCGATGCAGCCTTGGGTGGTGGATTGGGGATTGAGGCAGGGACAGGTGCGGATGCTGTGAGTGTTGGGATTGCAACAGAGGCAGGGGGGGCAGGCGGGGCAGCAGGGGCAGGCGGGGCAGCAGGGGCAGGAGGGAGCCAAGTAAGGGGTGAAGAAGGAGCAGAGAGTGAGGGAGGGAGTGAGAGGGGTGTGCAGGGTGAGGTCACAGAAGGGGAAGGATGTGAGGGTAAGTCGAATGCGGGTTCCCCTGGTGAGGTGCCTTTAGGGGGCGAAAGGAGGGAGGTAGAGGGATCCAGTGCGGTTGAGAAGCAAGATGCTGCGGTGGAAGGCGTTTCTCTGGTGGAAGGTGAAGGCGGGGTGGTGTTTATAACAGGAGGTCAATCGGGGCCAGGGAGGTTGGGACCAGGATCAGAAGCGGGGGTGGGGAGTGGGAGGGGAGGAGAGTCAGGAGAAGGGGAGGTAGGAGGAGGGGAAGTGGTTGGTACTGAGGAGGGGGTGGAAGGGGAAATGGGGCATGATCAAAATGGGAGGAGAGAAGGGGTGGAGAACAGTGTAAAGGCTGAGGCTGGGGCTGGTGTTGGGATTGCTGGCACGGATGTGACAAAGGGAGAGGGGGTAGGGGGTGATGGTAAGGAGGTTAGAGAGGGGATGTTAGAGAATGGGGGAAAGGAAGAGGATGGGGAAGGGGGAAGAAGAGTAGGGGAGGAGGGGGGGGTAGAAATGGAGGAGGGAGGCAGAGTGGAGGAAGCAGAGGGAGAAGAGGAGGGAGGGGAAGGAGAAGAGGAGGAAGAAGAGGAGGGTGAGGAGGAAGGGGGTGAGGAGGAAGAAGAGGAGGAGGAGGAAGCGGAGGAGGAGGAAGCGGAGGAGGAGGGTGTTGAGAGGGACAGGAAGGCAAGGGAGAAGGTGGTGAAAGCGTCAGAGACTCAGAGGGATCTCGAGGAGGTATGTGAACTATATTGAAGGGAGTTGAGAGTATGGGTCTATGGTTGCTTGCACTTGTAAAGCAGGAGCATGGTGGTTATTGGGAAGACAAGGGAGAAGGTGGTGAAAGTCTAGTTTTGAGGCGCCTCAAAACTATGGGTCTATGGTTGCTTGCACTTGTAAAGCAGGAGCATGGTGGTTATTGTATTGGGAAGACAAGGGAGAAGGTGGTGAAAGTCTAGTTTTGAGGCGCCTCAAAACTATGGGTCTATGGTTGCTTGCACTTGTAAAGCAGGAGCATGGTGGTTATTGTATTGGGAAGACAAGGGAGAAGGTGGTGAAAGCGTCAGAGACTCAACGGGATCTTGAAGAGGTGAGTGGATTTTTACAAGGAGTTGTCAAATCAGAGACTCCACGAGACCTTGAAGAGGTGAGAAAAAAGGTATCAAAGAATTTTGACAGAAAGGGTTTACGGATGCAGCAGGACAATCCGATTGGATTGGAGCACTGATCAGAATTGTTTATGAGCACAGCAACTTTAGTTTTCCACTCCAATCTCCTCCCTTTCAAACCCTCCCTCCTCCCTCCTCTCTCGTTTGTTCTGGCTGTTCCTGGCAGGCCAAGGGACTGCTTCGATCAGCTACAGGCATTGGGCAAACCAAGGAGGCCAGGCTTACACGGGTAGGCATGAATGTTTGAGGGATGGAGAAGGATGAGGGATGTATGCGTTTGGTGGTGCGTTAGGTATGGCAGGCCAAGGGGCATCCTTGAATCAACCACAGGCATTGGGCAAACCAAAGAGGCCAGGCTTACACGGGTATGTGTGTGTGCGTGTGGGAAGGCATGGGCGCGTGGACGCGTGAAGGATGAGGGATGCACGTGTTAGGTGGTGCGTTAGGCATGGCAGGCCAAGGGGCTTCTCTGATAGGATACACTACAGGCATCGGGCAAACGAAGGAGGCCTGGCTTGCATGGAGATATGTGATTCATGCATGCATGAAGGGTGAAGGATGAGGGATGAATTTTGAGGCGCCTCAAAATGCACCAAAATGCACTTTTGAGGCGCCTCAAAAACGAAGGAGGCCTGGCTTGCATGGAGATACGTGATTCATGGATCCATGAAGGGTGAAGGATGAGGGATGCGTGTGGGGTGACTTTGCGAGTCAGTTGCGGTGACTGAGAGTCAGTTGCGGTGACTGAGAGTCAGTTGCGGTGACTGAGAGTCAGTTGCGGTGACTGAGAGTCAGTTGCGGTGACTGAGAGTCAGTTGCGGTGACTGAGAGTCAGTTGCGGTGACTGAGAGTCAGCAAGTAGAAGGTTTTCCTTACAGCCTCCTTCCCTCTTCTCCTCTCTCTTTTGTCTGCCTCTCTCCTTCTATTTCTCCCTCTCCATGCCCCTGCAGATCTGTGCACAGCTGTCGGCGCGGCTGCAGGAGTATAAGGCGGGTGGAGTGACTTGATAGCATAGCAGCAACCAAGCAGCCACGTACCCTTTCCTCTGCCTCTCTTTCTCTTTCGCTCCCTTTGACTGCCCCTGCAGATCTGTGCACAGCTGTCGGCGCGGCTGCAGGAGTATAAGGCGGAGAACGAGCAGCTGAAGCGACTTGGAATTGCGTCGTTTAGAATTAGCACACAAGCAACCCGCCTCACTCACTCAGCTTGGCTTGGCCCCTCTCCCTCTCCATGCCCTTGCAGATCTGTGCACAGCTATCAGCGCGGCTCCAGGAGTACAAGGCAGAGAACGAGCAGCTGGAGGAGCTGCTGCACGAGGAGGTGAGGATTGGAGCATGGAGATGGGGAATGGTGCATGGAAGGTGCAGTGAGGTGCAACAATCTACAGGTATGAGGCAGATGAGCAGACAGAGGAAGAAAGCAAGGAGGAACAGAAACAGAAACAAGAAGGATACGGAACAGGCGGCGGCAGTAAAAGAAGTAAGTTCTGACCCAATCCCCTTCTCTCTCCCCCGCTCTCCCTCCTTCGTCCCTCCTTGCAACTGATCTTGTCTCCCCTCAGAGGAGCAACCGTGGATCAGTGGATAGTGTGGTTTGAGCATTACAGCAGCAGCTGGCAAGTGCACGGGCAGAGGCAGTGGCAGCAGCAACAAGGTTGTCACTCCCTCTGCTCCTCCCCCACCTTACACTATCTCCCCACAGAGAAACAACCGTGGATCAGTGGATAGTGTGGTGAGAGCATTGCAGCAGCAGTTGGCAAGTGCACGGGCAGAGGCAGTGGCAGCAGAGGCAGCAATAGCAGCGGGGATGGAGGCGAAGAATCGAGAGATAGAGGCGCTGTGTGGTGCGCTGGAGGATGCTGAGAGGCAGTCCGGTGCCCTCCAAGCGAAGCTCGCCTCCCTGCAGGTGCGTCCGAGGGAGGGAGTGAGGACGTGTGGGAGTGAGTGTGAGTGAGTGAGGGAGGAGGGAGTGAGTGAGGGTGTGAGGGATCATTACTTCACTCACTCACCATGCCCAAGTAAGTTCACAAGCCATTCGAAGAACTAGGACTGCACAGAGACAGGCATGTTCATGATTCACCACCGTTCCAATGTTCCCAGCAGCAACTCAACTCTCCGCCCCGCATGTTCTCACCTCACTCACCACACCATGCCACCTCCCTAACTGCTTGCGGGCTCTGAAGCTGTGTCCATGAGCCAGGCTCGTGTTTCACCTTCCCCTCACCTTCCCCAACGAACCTCTCGCCTCACCGTGCTGTTCCACCATACCACCACCATCCCGACTTTTGAGGTGCCTCAAAAACCACTTTCGAGGCGCCTCAAAAACGACTTTCGAGGCGCCTCAAAAACCACTTTCGAGGCGCCTCAAAAACCACTTTCGAGGCGCCTCAAAGCTTGTGTTTCACCTTCCCCAACGAACCTCTCGCCTCACCATGCTGTTCCACCATACCACCACCATCCCGACTTTTGAGGCGCCTCAAAAACGACTTTCGAGGCGCCTCAAAAACCACTTTTGAGGCGCCTCAAAGCTCGTGTTTCACCTTCCCCAACGAACCTCTCGCCTCACCGTGCTGTTCCACCATACCACCACCATCCCGAGTTTTGAGGCGCCTCAAAAACCACTTTCGAGGCGCCTCAAAAACCACTTTTGAGGCGCCTCAAAGCTCGTGTTTCACCTTCCCCAACGAACCTCTCGCCTCACCGTGCTGTTCCACCATAACACCACCATCCCGACTTTTGAGGCGCCTCAAAAACCACTTTCGAGGCGCCTCAAAGCTCGTGTTTTACCTTCCCCAACGAACCTCTCACCTCACCGTGCTGTTCCACCATACCACCACCATCCCACCACCAGGCGAGCTCTGAAGCCTTATCAAAGAATCGGGACCCCACAGAGGCGCGCATGATTCAGGCGCTCAGAGAGGATCTGGCTGCTGCTGCTGCTGCTGCTGCCGGCGCCTTCATCGCCGCTGTGAGGCGTCATACCAGCATGCCGTTCCACCCCTCCATTCCATGCCATCCCACCACCCCAACTCCAGGCGAGCTCTGAAGCGCTGTCCAAGAACCGGGACTCCACAGAGGCGCGCATGATTCAGGCGCTCAGGGAGGAGCTGGGTGCTGCTGCTGCTGCTGCTGCGCCTAGCATGTTAGTCACACGAGCGCCCATTATCCCTTCATTCATCCCACCACCCCAACTCCAGGCGAGCTCTGAAGCGCTGTCCAAGAACCGCGACTCCACAGAGGCGCGCATGATTCAGGCGCTCAGGGAGGAGCTGGGTGCTGCTGCTGCTGCTGCTGCTGCGCCTAGCATGTTAGTCACACGAGCACCCATTATCCCTTCATTCATCCCACCACCCCAACTCCAGGCGAGCTCTGAAGCGCTGTCCAAGAACCGCGACTCCACAGAGGCGCGCATGATTCAGGCGCTCAGGGAGGAGCTGGGTGCTGCTGCTGCTGCTGCTGCTGCGCCTAGCATGTTAGTCACACGAGCGCCCATTATCCCTTCATTCATCCCACCACCCCACCACCAGGCGAGCTCTGAAGCGCTCTCCAAGAATCGGGACTCCACAGAGGCGCGCATGATTCAGGCGCTCAGGGAGGAGCTGGGTGCTGCTGAGAGGCGGTGCGACGACGAGCACGCAGCGCACCTCGTGACAAGACAGGTGAGGCTTCTCAAGTTTTTGCTATCAATCAAGCACGGTGCATCGACCTTTTGAGAACTCTCGAAAGGGTACATCTTCTCTCATTTTTACTACAGTCTATATAGCTACGAGTCTCGTCCTGATTGCTGCTTGGCAAGTGTCTCTCTCTCAACCTTCCCACAGGAAGCAACAGCGCGCGAGCTGGAGTTAGAGCAGCAGGTGGCGTGGCGGAGGGCGTGGCGGCGCTCTCTCTCTCACTCCTGTTTCACTCACGCTCGACCTTCTCTCACATTCAATTCACAGGAAGCAGCAGCGCGCGAGCTGGAGTTGGAGCAGCAGGTGGCGGAGGGGGTGGCGGTACTGTCTCGCATGCACCCAGTTTAGTCCATGCTAATTCACCCGCAATCCTCTTTCTCTCTCGCCCTCCCACTTGCAGGAAGCAGCAGCACGCGAGCTCGAGTTGGAGCAGCAGGTGGCGGAGGGCGTGGCGGCGCTCTCTCGCATGCAGAGGGCAGTGGAGGAGCGCACACAGCGAGTGTCATCCCTTGAAGAGAAGATATCCGTTCTCGAGGTGAGTGTGAGGGAGGGTAGGATTTGGAGCAGTAGTAGGGGGCAGCAGGGGGAAGAGGGTGTGGCAGCACTTTCTCGCATGCAGAGGGCAGTGGAGGAGCGCACACAGCGAGTGTCATCCCTTGAAGAGAAGATATCCGTTCTCGAGGTGAGTGTGAGGGAGGGTAGGATTTGGAGCAGTAGTAGGGGGCAGCAGGGGGAAGAGGGTGTGGCAGCACTTTCTCGCATGCAGAGGGCAGTGGAGGAGCGCACACAGCGAGTGTCATCCCTTGAAGAGAAGATATCCGTTCTCGAGGTGAGTGTGAGGGAGGGTAGGATTTGGAGCAGTAGTAGGGGGCAGCAGGGGGAAGAGGGTGTGGCAGCACTTTCTCGCATGCAGAGGGCAGTGGAGGAGCGCACACAGCGAGTGTCATCCCTTGAAGAGAAGATATCCGTTCTCGAGGTGAGTGTGAGGGAGGGTAGGATTTGGAGCAGTAGTAGGGGGCAGCAGGGGGAAGAGGGTGTGGCAGCACTTTCTCGCATGCAGAGGGCAGTGGAGGAGCGCACACAGCGAGTGTCATCCCTTGAAGAGAAGATATCCGTTCTCGAGGTGAGTGTGAGGGAGGGTAGGATTTGGAGCAGTAGTAGGGGGCAGCAGGGGGAAGAGGGTGTGGCAGCACTTTCTCGCATGCAGAGGGCAGTGGAGGAGCGCACACAGCGAGTGTCATCCCTTGAAGAGAAGATATCCGTTCTCGAGGTGAGTGTGAGGGAGGGTAGGATTTGGAGCAGTAGTAGGGGGCAGCAGGGGGAAGAGGGTGTGGCAGCACTTTCTCGCATGCAGAGGGCAGTGGAGGAGCGCACACAGCGAGTGTCATCCCTTGAAGAGAAGATATCCGTTCTCGAGGTGAGTGTGAGGGAGGGTAGGATTTGGAGCAGTAGTAGGGGGCAGCAGGGGGAAGAGGGTGTGGCAGCACTTTCTCGCATGCAGAGGGCAGTGGAGGAGCGCACACAGCGCGTGTCATCCCTTGAAGAGAAGATATCCGTTCTCGAGGTGAGAGAGAGGGTGAGAGCGCGAGAGTGTTTCAGTTGGAGCAGCATAGGGTAGAGCAGGTGGCGGAGGGAGTGGCGGCGCTCTCTCGCATGCAGAGGGCAGTGGAGGAGCGCACACAGCGAGTCTCGTCCCTGGAAGAAAATATATCTTTACTTGAGGTGATTGTGTGGGTCGCGGTTGAGGTTGGAATGAGGATAAGGTTGGGTGGATTGACAGTGAGTGAGGGTGGGTGGGTGAGGCGTTATTCGAATAGTTTTTATGCATACATGAATAGTTTTCTAGTAAGTGGGGACTTATCTAATCCTATTTTGATTTCTCTGTGGCAGAGCAGGCATTACATTCTTCTGCAAGGACAAGTATTCATGAATGTTCGTGTGACTACTTTTGCAAACACATGTGCCTGTCTGCCTGTCCATGCATGTTTGGCATTGCATGTACACGAATGTGTGTGTGTACCTGCATGTGCGTATACCTGCATGTATGTGTGCGTATACCTGCATGTATGTGTGCGTATACCTGCATGTATGTGTGCGTATACCTGCATGTATGTGTGCGTATACCTGCATGTATGTGTGCGTATACCTGCATGTATGTGTGCGTATACCTGCATGTATGTGTGCGTATACCTGCATGTATGTGTGCGTGTACCTGCATGTATGTGTGCGTATACCTGCATGTATGTGTGCGTGTACCTGCATGTATGTGTGCGTGTACCTGCACGTGTGTATGCATGCATGGTTACCCGGTAACAGATGGAGTGCAGCAGTCTCAACAGCGAGCTACAAGCACACGACGACAAGGCAAAGAGGGACCTCCGACGACCAGTCTCAGCAGATGACCCCTCCGTGCTCGCGCAGGTGGGTGTGTTTGTTAGCCAGTTGGCTTGTCCGGTGTTAGTTGGTTTGTGTATGTGCATGTATCGTGCGCATTGCTCACTGGAAAGGCCAAGGGGGATCTCAGGCGACCAGTCGCAGCAGACGACCCCTCCGTGCTCGCCCAGGTGGGTTGTTAGCTTGGTTTGACTGTTAAACGGTTGGCTGGCTTATGTACACATGCATGCGCGGCGCTCATTGCTTGCGCAAAAGGCCAAGAGTGATCCCATCCCATGTGGCCGCTCGCTCTCAGCAGACGTTTTGAGACGTCTCAAAACATCACTTTTATCACGGCGCTCATTGCTTGCGCAAAAGGCCAAGAGTGATCCCATCCCATGTGGCCGCTCGCTCTCAGCAGACGTTTTGAGACGTCTCAAAACATCACATGCATGCGCGGCGCTCATTGCTTGTGCAAAAGGCCAAGAGTGATCCCATCCCATGTGGCCGCTCTCTCTCAGCAGACGACCCCTCCGTCCTCGCGCAGGTGGGTTGCTAGTACCTGCATGTATGTATCCATGGTAACGTGGTAACGCATGGAGGCTCTGGAAGGAGGAGTTGGAGTTTGCGAGGGCAGCTGCTCTGTTGCAGGCTTGTAATAATCGCCCGCCCTTATTCCCCACCCGTAACACCCCCTTCCCTTCCCCCCTGTCACCCCTTGCATGGTGGCAGGTGCAGGCATGGAAGGAGGAGGCAGAGCGAGCGAGGCAGCTGCTTTATTAGAGGCTCGTATCAATCAACCCCCCTACCCAATGCCCCACCCGTATAACCCCCCTCGTCCCCTCGTTCTTGCATGGTGGCAGGTGCAGGCATGGAAGGAGGAGGCAGAGCGAGCGAGGCAGCTGCTTTTGAAGCAGCTGTGTCTAGCCCCCGTCCCTATTCCCCACCCGCATAGCCCCCTTCCTCCCTTCTATCTCGTCGCCCTTGCATGGTGGCAGGTGCAGGCATGGAAGGAGGAGGCACAGCGAGCGAGGCAGCTGCATAAAGCAGGTGTATCAACGCTCCTTCCCCGTCCCCCCTCCTCCTTTCCCCACGCGCTGATTGTTAGCAGGTGCAGGCATGGAAGGAGGAGTCGGAGCGAGCGAGACAGCTGCTGCGAGAGGCAGAGGGGAAGCTAGCAGGCAGTGAGGTGAGCAGAGGGGGGAGGGAGGGGAAGGGAGGGAGGGAGGTGAGTAGGTTTGAGGAGTCGGAGAGTGCAAGGCAGCTGCTGCGCAAGGTCGAGGGGAAACTGTCAGTCAGCGAGATGAGCAGAGAAAGGGTGGCGTGAGAGAGGGAGGCGGTTGGTAGGAGTTTGTTTCCAATGAGATCTATAATGAGGCGAGCAAGGCAGCTGCTGTGAGATGCAGAGGGGAAGCTGGCAGGCAGCGAGGTGAGCAGACGGTGGGGTAAGGAGGAGATGCGTGGGAGAATTCTGTTTTTTTTTTAACCATTTATCAGACAGAGTGAAGCAGGGGAAATTGGCAGGAAGTGAGTTGAGAGCGAGGTGAGGTGAGCAGAGGAGAGGGAGGGGAGGGGAAGGGAGGGGAGGGGGAGGGGAGGGGAGGAGGGAGAGGGAAGGGGAGGGAAGGGAAGGGAGGGGATGGGAGAGGAGCCTCGTTACAAGCATGTCCTGTTTTTCGTACTGCCCTATTGCCCTATCACTAACTCCCCCGATCGCCCACCCCCTCTATGTCTCTATCGGCCATGCCCCTTATTCCCCGACCCGATTGCCCACGCCCCCTATCCCTCCCGCCCCGCCCCACATGTGCAGTGCAGGCAGAGGTGCAGAGCAGAAGCTGCAGTGGAGGCTCACAAGAGCAACAAGGATGGATCCTGCTTGCCCTATTACGGGCGCTCCCCCTATCCCCCATGTCCCCCATGTCCCCTATCCCTCCCGCCCCACCCGTGCAGGCAGAGGTGCAGAAGCTAAGGATGGAGGTGGAGGCTCACACGAGAGACAATTGAGCATCCTCGCTACAAGCATGCGCTGTTTGCTTACTGCCCTATTTCCCTATCACCCGCTCTTCTGATTGTTCATGCCCCCGGTTCATATGTGCAGGCAGAGGTGCAGAAGCTGAGAGTGGAGGTGGAGGCCCACAAGAGGGACGCAGATTCATCCTCGTTACAGGCATGTTCTGTGTCCTTTTTACAGTGATGTGCAGTGCATGTTCATCTGCATTTTCCGCTCTGCCATTCATATTCCTTCCTCAAGGTGGGGGCTCTCTTTAATTCCCTCCGTGTCTGCTCATGTTTTGCTCATCCTCTCTTCCTCTTCCCTCTCCTTCCTCTTCCCCCCCACACTCCCCTCCTCTCCTCTCCTCTGCTCTCTCCTTGCCTCACCTAACCCGCCTCACCCACCTCTCCGCTCCTCACCCTCCTCACCCTCCGCTCCCTCCGCTCCCTCCTCTCCCTCCTCTCCTCTATCTGCGCAGGCCAATGCAGAAATGGAGAAACGGTTCAAGGAGTTGACAGAGCTGCTGGTGAGTTGACAGAGCTGCTGGTGAGTTGACAGAGTCAGTCAGCCAGTTCAAAAAGCTGCTGATAAGTGTGACAGAATCTGGTAGGGAGTTGACAGAGTTCTTAGAGATTTGACAGATATGCTGGTGAGTGTCAGAGCTTGTCAGAGAGTCAATCGTCTACCTGATAACATTAAGCAGAGCCGATTGACAGAGTCTGTAAATGTTGTGCCAGAATCCGTTGCTATGTTTATCATCGCATTGTTAAGGTCATCAGGCAACTGTACCAACCCATCACTTCTAGTCGTGAGGTGTATTTTGAGGTGATGGGTTTTGACTTGAAATACAGCTGTACCTACCTACCCACCACACCACTCCAAGTCACAACCATAGCATATAACTCCTTTTTTTTTATTATTCCACCTGCCACTCCCTACCCACACACTGTGTTGCCAATCCCCCCCCCCCCGTTTCTCTGCCCCCTCTCATTCCTCTTCCTTCCCTTCCCCTCCCCTCCCCTCCCCTCCCCTCCCCTACCGTCCCCTCCCCACATTGCAGTGTCTGAAGCAGAGTCAACTGGAAACGATGACAAGTGAGAGGCAAGCAGCGATGCTGCTGCTTCAGCTGATTCACTCCATTCCCCACTCTCCCCTCCCCTCCCCTCCCCTCCCCTCCCGTCCCGTCCCCTCCCCAAATTGCAGTGCCTGAAGCAGAGTCAACTGGAAACGATGACAAGTGAGCGGCAAGCAGCGATGCTCCAACTGGACAAGGAGCGACGAGAGCTGCAACTGGCCAAGGTAAACTTCTTTACTGGACGCCTCACTGCACTGTACAATGCATGTTGATGCTGCAATTGGAGTAGGAGAGAGGGAGCTGCAACTGACCAAGGTAAACCGCTTGTTTTAGGCGTCTCGATGGTTCTAGGCACCTCAATGCATGCACACCTGTTGCGAGACAAGGGGAAACAATGACAGGTGAGAGGCAAGCGGCAATACTGCTGCAACTGGAGAAGGAGAGGAGAGAGCTTCAACTGGCCATGTTCATGCCGCTATTGGCAAAAGTAGACGGCTTTAGTAGACGGCTTCATTGAATGCGCACGGGCAGTCTCAACCTTATGCCACATCCTTTTCTTTCCTGAACCTTTCCTTTCCCTACCCTCCCCTCCCTTTCAGGCACAGGCGGAGAGGGACAGAGCGGCACGCCGGTCGATGTGCTGATGTGTGTTCTGAACCTTAAGCGCTATTCCACCTAACCTTTCCATTGTGCTCCCCTCCCTTTCAGGCACAGGCAGAGAGGGACAGAGCGGCACGCCGGTCGATGTGCTGATGTGTGTTCTGAACCTTAAGCGCTATTCCACCTAACCTTTCCATTGTGCTCCCCTCCCTTTCAGGCACAGGCGGAGAGGGACAGAGCGGCACGCCGGTCGATGTGCTGATGTGTGTTCTGAACCTGAAGCGCTATTCCACCTAACCTTTCCATTGTGCTCCCCTCCCTTTCAGGCACAGGCGGAGAGGGACAGAGCGGCACGTCGGTCAATGCTGATGGCTGCTGATGAGGAGGACAGCGAGATGCAGCCGCTGGAGTGAGTGGTGCTGTGCGGTGCTCTGTGGTGCTCTGTCTGTGGTGCTCTGTCTGTGGTGCTCTGTCTGTGGAGCTCTGTCTGTGGTGCTCTGGGGTGTGGTGGTGCTGGGTGTGGTGCCTTTCTATCTTCTCGCCTTACCATATTTTCACCTCCTCGCCTCTCCTCACCACTTCTCACCGCTCCTCGCCACTTCTGTCACCTCATGTCACTGCATCTCACCACTTCTCACCTTAACTTGCCGCTTCTCACCTTTGCTCACCTCTTCTCACCGCTTCTCACCCCCCTCAGGTCCGTGGGTCTGCCCAACCGGCGCTTCATAGGCAAGAGGATTCAGGTGAGATGCAAGCGCGTCGCGCCTTATGTCCCGTGGGAGAGGGGGGACGTAGGGAAGGGGGGAGAGGGGGAGCGGGTTAAGGGGGAAAGGTAGGAAGAGGGGCGTGGGGCTGGGGAGGGGGGAGGGGGGGGGATTGGTCTCTCGATTAAAGAGCGTATGAGAAGCAACTTCAATTTGAGAAAGCAACTTCAATTCTGGTGAGATGAGATGAAACACCTTAATGAAGTGCAATTTCATCAAATGTAGCTAAGATTGCATCCCCAAAAGCTTTCTGGGTAAAGATAAGAAAACCGATAAAACTTAATGCTACAATAATCTCTCTGTTAAAAATGAAGATGTTTTTGGAGCTGAATACACTCAAAACTAAGATAGCTATAAAAGCAAATTCACGCATCTTTTTTTTTTTTTTTTTTTTTTTTTTTTTAACTTAAACCCCGTTCTGTTCTTCCCCACCCATCCATGAACCCCGTTCTTAAACCCACCCAATTTCCCCACTTCCGGGCGTTTTACCCTTCCCCCCGTGTCCCACTGTCTCCTCTTCTCCCCGTCGTTGCTCGCCACAGCAAAGCAAGCAGCCAAGCTCATCGATCACAGCACAGCGACTGCCGGCCGCTCCCTCCACACAGTACCGGCCCAACCAACCAACCCCCGCTCCACTCCACCCACCCTCCCCCCTGTCCCCACCGACCACCCCTTCTACAGCAAGCAGCAAAGCTCATCGATCATGGCACAGTGACTGCCGGCCGCTTCCTTTGGCGCCGCCCACTTGCCCGCCTTGGACTTGTCTGCTACCTGGTACTTGCTCGCCCCCCCACCTCCCCACCACAACCCTCCTCAACCCCACCCCCCCTCCTTCTCCACCCTCCCCCTCCTCCTCCCCTTCCCCCTCTCCCTTCTCCCCCCACCCAAACAAAAACAAAAACATGTTAATTTCAGGTCAGCCTTAGGGGTGGGACCTTGTGGTCTTGGCAAAGAAAGGCAGGAAATCGCCGTAGGGTTTCATTGTATGCAAGCAATGAACACCTGCATCATTGCTTGCCATTGCCTGTGTTTCTCAATTGTGCCCATGCTGTTGTTCATATTTTCCTTTGCTTGTTTTTGTGCCCTTGCTGTACCGTCTGTTTTCTCTCGGGCATCACCATCACCAGTATCTTATCCTTCTCTCCTCCTCACGTCACTTTTGAGTCGACTGAAAGTCAACCCAGTATCTTATCCTTCTCTCGGCCTCACGTCACTTTTGAGTCGACTGAAAAGTCAACCCAGTATCTTATCCTTCTCTCCTCCTCACGTCACTTTTGAGTCGACTGAAAAGTCAACCCAGTATCTTATCCTTCTCTCCTCCTCACGTCACTTTTGAGTCGACTGAAAAGTCAACCCAGTATCTTATCCTTCTCTCCTCCTCGCGTCACTTTTGAGTCGACTCAAAAGTCAACCCAGTATCTTATCCTTCTCTCCTCCTTGCGTCACTTTTGAGTCGACTCAAAAGTCAACCCAGTATCTTATCCTTCTCTCCTCCTCGCGTCACTTTTGAGTCGACTCAAAAGTCAACCCAGTATCTTATCCTTCTCTCCTCCTCACCTCACTTTTGTGTCGACTCAAAAGTCAACCCAGTATCTTATCCTTCTCTCCTCCATGCGTCACTTTTGAGTCGACTCAAAAGTCAACCCAGTATCTTATCCTTCTCTCCTCCTCGCGTCACTTTTGAGTCGACTCAAAAGTCAACCCAGTATCTTATCCTTCTCTCCTCCTCACGTCACTTTTGTGTCGACTCAAAAGTCAACCCAGTATCTTATCCTTTTCTCCTCCTCACGTCACTTTTGAGTCGACTGAAAAGTCAACCCAGTATCTTATCCTTCTCTCCTCCTCACGTCACTTTTGAGTCGACTCAAAAGTCAACCCAGTATCTTATCCTTCTCTCCTCCTCACGTCACTTTTGAGTCGACTGAAAAGTCAACCCAGTATCTTATCCTTCTCTCCTCCTCGCGTCACTTTTGAGTTGACTCAAAAGTCAACCCAGTATCTTATCCTTCTCTCCTCCTCGCGTCACTTTTGAGTCGACTCAAAAGTCAACCCAGTATCTTATCCTTCTCTCCTCCTCGCGTCACTTTTGAGTCGACTCAAAAGTCAACCCAGTATCTTATCCTTCTCTCCTCCTCACGTCACTTTTGTGTCGACTCAAAAGTCAACCCAGTATCTTATCCTTTTCTCCTCCTCACGTCACTTTTGAGTCGACTCAAAAGTCAACCCAGTATCTTATCCTTCTCTCCTCCTCACGTCACTTTTGAGTCGACTCAAAAGTCGTCTGTTGTCTCTCGGGCGTCACCATCACAAATATTTTTATCCTTCTCTCCTCCTCACTTTACCACTACAGGTCTTCGTGCATCTATTTCTCATGTACCTGCTGCACAGATTACCTGCTGCACATCTATTACTACCTCACGAGAGGAGTGTATCACGAGAGGAGTGTCTCATCAAGTATTTTATCCTTCTCTCCCCCTCACGTCACCACTACAGGTCTTCGTGCATCTATTTCTCGTGTACCTGCTGCACAGACTACAGGTAAACTTTTGAGGCGCCTCAAAACTCACTATCTCCTTATCCGTCTCTGCCCCTCACTCTTATCACTACAGGTCTTCGTTCATCTGTTTCTCATGTACCTGCTGCACAGATTACAGGTAAATTACCCTTGCCACAAATATTTCTGACTTACCCTCTCAATGATTACAGGGTCTTGTTCATATATTTCTCGTGCATCTACTGCACAAAGTACAGGTAAGTTATCCTTGCCACAAGTAACTGGTGATTTGCCCTCGAAATAATTACAGGTAATTTGCAATCGACACCGGTTACAATTGATTTACCAGCTAAATGCAATTTACCCCTACCCTTCTATCCCTTCCCCTCCACCTCCCACCCTCCCCCAGGAGCAAGCTGTTGAACAAGTACCAGGTATACTTGGCTGCAGAGGCAGCAGACGTCTCAAAACCTTGCACTCTCTCCCTCCTCCTCCCCCCTCCGGCCCTCCTCTCCCTTCTCTCCCCTTCCACAGGAGCAAGCGGATGAGTTGCTGAACAAGGACCAGGTGTACTTGGCTGCAGAGGCGGCAGCAGGGATTAGAGAGACGACTCACAAACACCCCCACCGCACCTCCTCTCCTCGCCTCCTTATTTCACAGGAGCAAGCGGACGAGCTGCTGAACAAGGACCAGGTGTACGTGGCTGCAGAGGCGGCAGCAGATGTCTCAAAACCCTGCACGCTCTTCTTCCCCATCTCCCCCCCCGCCCTCCTCTTCTCCCCCCTCTTCCCCTTCCACAGGAGCAAGCGGATGAGTTGCTGAACAAGGACCAGGTGTACCTGGCTGCAGAGGCGGCAGCAGGCATTGTGAAGCCTCATCCAGCTCGTCGTTAGTCGCTCGTCATGGCCTGGCTTATGAACATTCTCGCCTGGTCTATGAGAGTTATTCACTGCAGAACGGCGGCAGAGACTGCAGATACAGTGAGGGCGGCAGAAGCGGCAGCAGGCATTGTGAAGCCTCACCCAGCTCGTCGTTAGTCGCGCGTCATGGCCTGGCTTATGAACATTCTCGCCTGCCAGGGGGCTGCAGAGACTGCGGGAGCTGCAGAGACTGAAGGGGATGCAGAGGCAACAGAGGGGCTGCAGAGGCAGCAGATGCGGCAGAGGCGGCTGCAGTTGCTAGTTGTTCCGTCGCTGGTGCTTTAAGGGGGTTGGTGATGGTGATGGGTGTCCTGGTGGTGGTCGTGGTGGTGGTGGTGGTCGTCGTCGTCGTCGTCGACGTCGTCGTGGTCGTCGTCGTCGTGGTGGTGGTGGTGGTCGTCGTCGTCGTCGTCGTCGTCGTGGTCGTCGTCGTGGTGGTGGTGGGTGTTGTTGGTGCTGCTTGTGGTGGTGATGTACATGTGATACCTATGATGCCATGGTGGTGGTGCTGACAAGCCAAGGATACTTTTGGTGGCTCAAAATATTTCACGTTCATCAAGAATGGGCGTGTGTATCATAGAACCCCCTATGAGGATTCGTGTGCTCTCTAAAGCACAAGTAGCATCTCAACTAGCCCTTGCTCATTTTGCAATTCTAATTGGTAAGGAATGTGTTGAACTCAAAAGTACACTGCTCATGTACACTGAGCTCTTTGTTGAAATCCAGGGTACCTCACATGCGTGAACTGTACCGGAGGTGACGACAAAACCTTGCCGGCTAGGTTCCAGCCGGGCCATGACTGAAGAGTTTCCATCCGCCCCTCACAGTTCTGTGGCGGCAGCGCTTGCATTGATTTTGCAATCCCTTGCAAATTACCCACAGCTTTTAATACAGTAGTCCCACTTCTGTAAAGTGAGAAACCTCTGAATGGGTACAGTTGCCTTTCTACCCGCCCCAAGAAACCTCTGCCGTTGACTCGAAGCGGAGCTGTTTTGATTGTGGCTTATTTGCTCGAAGTACCGCCAGTCGAGTCCGCCCATGAATTTGACCGAAACTCTTAGGGTTTCCACCACCCGTTTTGAGGTGTGGTGGCCAGTGGGGGTTCGTTTTGTGGTTGGAAAATCATCGGGCAGAGTGGCCTAATTTTCTCCACTGGGCTTGTTGCCAACATCCGATTGGTTACTGGGTGCTCCATTCTCCACCACCACAGGTGCTCGCAGACCCGTGGGAACACCAAGGCATGTGTATCTGTAACCCTGTCACGAATAATTCGGCGAGACGCAAAAGCCGCTTTGGCGAACGTCGCCGTTATCTGTTTCCTTCCATCAGTGCTCAACTGCCCTAAACTACGCCAACCACCGTACAGCTGTGCAAAGAGAGTCAGTCCCTTCCCTACCCGCACATCAATCCACCATAGTATATTATCGTAGTTGACTAGAGAGACAATAAATCGGTAGGTATCTCGCCAAAACGGCTCTTCATTGAGGAGTGATTCCGTCCGCGTCAAGCTGCCGCTTACTGGACGCACGGTGATTGTTAGCTGCTCAATATACTGGATGGATCGTCTAACAGGCTAAGATGGCATAAAGTACCCATCGAGGTCGGTGTTGAGTCAATGAGTCAACGGGTCGGCACCACCTCCTGAGACAATGAGAGCTACTAAAGTCTACGAAGGGCAGCACCATTCGCGTTGAGCCTTGCCCCAGTCCCGCTTAGTAACCGTGCGCGTTTGAGTACGCGTTAATCATAGCATTTGTGCTATAAAAAAGGTAGTTAACCATGGCCGCTCGCGACGAGTGCTACAGCCCGCTGAGCTACAGCCCCCTCAGCAGCCCCGTATCCAGACACTACTTTAACGATGATGGGAGCGAAGCTACAGCCGGCGGGCACTACCGGAAAGACTCGGGGCAATTATTAGACGAAGCGTGGGAGACCCTGGCGGACGAAACTCCGCTCTCCGTTCCCCCCCAGCACGACATTGTCCCCCGATCGCGCAGCAGCACGTCTCCGCTGCACTCGCGCCCGGGGGGAACCTCGTCCAAGATCAGCGAATCTGATTTGCGAAACTTCGCAAATTTCGTCAAGACCAAGACGGTTACGGAGTCCGCGGGTGGGGGAAGCGGCCGCTCGTCGAGCGGGGGCGGCGGGGCCGGAAAGGACGGAGGTGGAAAATTTCAGCGCCTATGGTCGTTCCGGAACGGCGCGCGCGGAGCGGAAGAAGGGGGAGATGGAGGAGGCGGAGGGACAGGGGGAACCGGCACCGGAGGAAGCGGCACGACGGGGAGCGCGGAAATCAGGAGCGGGGGAAGCGGGAAGAAGGAGCGATTTCTTGAGCAGGTAATTAAAACCGGCGGGCAAGCAGCTCGCGTGTGGTCCAATCCGCGTCGCCGAAGTTTCGCGGAAGACGACGCGCCTTCACCAATGCGGTCCGCGACATTCACGCGCGCTACAATTAGGACTAGCATCGGAGGCGGAAGCAGCACGGGCGGAAGCAGCGCTGGCGGAAGCAACAGCGGCTCAATTCCCGTTTCCACGTTGGCGGACGACGGGGAAGAATCCCTCCCTGATTTTTTCCGCCGTTCCGCAACCGTTTGCACTTCCGACGCCGCTTCGCTCGAGCTGACGCAGCAAGGCAAGCAATATCAGCAGCAACAGCAGCAGCAGCATCAAAAGCTTCAGCTGTCGCAGCAGCAATGGGCGGCGTCTGGTCTCGCTTCCGGTTCCGCTTGCGGGGGGCGCGCGGAGTCGCCCCCGCAGGATCCCCGCAGCGGCAGCGCGGGGAAGACGCGGAGCGATTCCGCGGGGAATTCGCGGAGCAGCAACCGGGATAGCGTGTGGGGGGAAGCGAGCAGCGACGCCGCCGATAATGGTGCAGAACATCGCAGCATCAGCTTTGCCGCCAGCAGCGGCAGTGCCGGTAGCGGCTGCGGCGGTGGCAGCGGTGGCGCTAACTCTTCTCCTATTAACGCTCGCCCTAGATCGCCTGCATTTCCGCGGCCTAGGTCCCCGATTTGCGCGCCTTCGCGCGCAGCTGCAGCGCCAGCTCCGCCGCCAAAGGTGGCATATTTCTCGTTCGACCGGCACCGGGAAGCGGTGGCGGAAGCGGAGCAGCTGGACGCGGAAGAAGAGGCGGCGTCCCGCCAGGGGCGGAGGAGGGAAGCCTTTAAAAGCGCGAGCGTTGGTTCGAGTAGCGGCTTTAGCGCGGGTGGAGGCGCAGGGGATGGTGGGAACGCGAACGGGGCTGGCGGTGGTGTGGGATGGCCCGGGGAAATTGGCGGAAACGCGGAGGGAAGCGCGCAAGTGTTGCGCCGAGGAGCGAAGGGGGGGAGTTTCGAAAGCATGGCGCAGGCGGGGCCGATTGGGTGTGCGGGCGAGTTCGGTAGCGGGCGACGGAGCGGGGTTGCGCGGGGAGCAAAGGGGGAAGGCAGCGCGCGCGCGTGGGAAGTGACGATTACGCAGGACGGTGACTATGGCGAGGGGAAGGAGGACGAGCGCGAGTTGACTCCCACGAGAGACGCTTCGTCAAAGCATCGACGAGGATTCAGGTGAGTGTACAGTGAATGACTCTTGATGAAATTAACACGCTATCAACAGAATCTTGAAATCACACAAGCATGCAAAGATGTTAAGTGGGTTTTCTCCCAAAAAAATGTGTTTCCTTGAATGGTGATTTTAGTAGTAATGTTGACCATGAACAAGCGTGAGTTATATCTAGTTTCGAGGCATAGCAAAGGCTTCAGGTAAGTGTCAGTGATTAATAACTTCGTTATCACAATAGCATGACTTGTCAAAACGGCACCATGTCACCTACAATATGGTTATTCGATTTAGGCATAAACGTAACAGGCATATCGTACAATTTGGATGCGTATTATAGCACGTTTATCAGCCAAGCAGACATAACGTATAATTCATGGAAAGGAGCACATGGAAATGACACGACTGATGTGGTTGTTTTTTACCAGAAGCCTACACAGAGAGACCCTTTGCAAGTTTGTGTAAAATTGGGAAAGTAACATTACCGCACACGAACCCCCTTTTTCCTCTTCATACACCAGTGCCTTTTTTTTCTCTCCTTTTTTCCTCACTCATTCATTCCAAAAATCATCTCTCTTTCCCCACCCCCCCTTACTTACCTCTGCCTCTCCCACACTCCACTCCCTTCCCATTCCCTTCCTATGCCCTACTTCCTCTCCCACACTCTGCTCCTCCCCCATTCCCTTCCGTCCTCATTCCCTTCCTCTTCACCTCTCTGCCTCCCACACTCCCCTCCCACTCCCGTCCCTCCCCACCAGGAGTCGCAGTTTCGCAACTGGACCAACTCCCCCAAAGCCCCGACACTTCCCCCCTGATCTTATTTCGCTCTTTCTTTTCCAAAACCCCTTCCCCATTCCCTTCTGTCCCCTATCAGGCTATCCCCATCTTCCTACCACACTCCCCTCGCCCGAAGCCCCCAGCCTCCCAACTTTCCTTTCTAGCACTCTCTTTTCCAAACTTCACTCCTTTCCCATTCTCGTCCTATTCACCTCTTCCTCTACCACACTCCGCTCCCACACGCCCCTCCCACTCCCATCCCTCACTACCAGGAGTCGCTCCTTCAGTGGAATCGGCACTCTCAACGGGACCAACTCCCCCGAAGCCCCCACCCTCCCTGCCCTCCCCTCCTCCCCTTCCCCCAATCCCGGAAGCCCTCTCTCTTCCGAACGACGCACATACTCCCCCCACGCCACCCTCCCCACCTCCACCTCCTCCTCCTCGCGTGTCCGCCCTCCCCGATCCTCCACAGCTGTGATTCTCCCGCCACTGGGTGCTTCTTCCCATGGGCATCATCACTACCACAGGCCTGCATTTCCTCATCGCAGGACGGTGTCTGTGGATGAGCATGGGCTCGTGGGCCGGGCTTTAATGCAGGCTTCAATAGAGGAACACCAGCACGGGAAGCCACCACAGCAGTATCAGCAGCAGAGTTCTCA